CTTCGGGAAGGAGGGCGGGGATGAAAAGGCTTCCTTCCCTTCCTTTCCTTCTGGATGGAAGGCGTGGAGGTCCCAGCTCTCGTCCCCCCCTCGGGAAGGGGAAGGGGGTGGTGAGAAACGGTTCCATCCCTTCCCTCTTCCTCAGGATGGAGAGGGATGAAGAAGAACATGTGGGGGTTACTTCCCTTCTCTTCCTTCAGGAAGGAGGGGGAGGTTCCTTGACCTCCTTTTCCCCAGAAAAAAAAAGGATGAGGAGGTGCCTTCTCTGTCGTTTTCCTCTGGAGGGAGGAAGCGCAGGGTTCTTCCCTCCTTAGTTCCTCAGGAAGGACGAGGACATCCACAATGCTCCTTTGCGCTTGAAGGCCGACAACGCACAGCAGGAAAGTAATCGACGATGGCGACAATGATGACGATGACGATGACGAAAACGACGACGCAACGTTCTTATAACAAATCTGAAAAATCTAGGCCCCCGCTGGACCCCCGAAGCCCCCTCCGGCCACCGCGCGCTGGAGGGGGGGAGGAGCGGGCGACCGGCTCTAGGGCCCCCAGCCGCGGCGGCATCATTCCTGTCTCGCGCGCCCAAGAAGCTTCGACATGCCCGCGCGCGTGACACGAACGCGAAATCGAAGCCGATTGCCCAGTGGGGGGCTCTCCGATCCACAACGATTTCACCCCCTCGCCTCCGCTTCAAACTGATGTCCGCCGCTCGTGAAGCACAATAAAGCGAGAACCACATTTTGAAAACCACCCGCCCTCAATCCGTGAAGCTCTTGCACATGTTGAAAGCGAATGCGCGCGGCGCTAAGGCGAGAACCACATTTTGAAAACCACCCGCCCTCAATCCGTGAAACTTTTCAAACGAATGTCCACGACGCTAAAGCGACAACCACATTTTGAAAACGACCCGCCTTCAATCCGTGATACTCTTGCAAATTTACAAACAAATGTGCGCGGTGCTAAAGCGAGAACCACATGTTGACAACCACCCGCCCTCAATCCGTGAAGCTCTTGCGAATGTTGAAAACGAATGTGCGCGGCGCTGAGGCGAGAACCACATTTTGAAAACCACCCGCCCTCATTCTGTGAAGCTCTTCACTTTTTGAGCTTCAGGGTCATGAGTGGTGAGGAAGTCTCAGGCGAAACGCCGGGGCCCGCCCTAAAAACTGGAACTGGCCTCGGGGTGCGACAGGGAGGAGTTATGTATAAGGAGAAGAAATGAAGGAGGAGGAGGAGGAGGAGGAGGAGGAGGAGGAGGAGGAGGAGGAGGAGGAGGAGGAGGAGGACGACAACCCACTCGTTCGCTGACGAGGGGTGGTGGTGTTGCGCAACCTCCGCGGGGCGAGCCGCGGCCTAGGGACGCGCGCGCCGGGGACTGCGGCCTCGGAGGGCGCGAAGGTGTTCGAACTCATCCGGGGGTCTGGCCTCGGGGCGCGCGAATCCGTCGCACTTTGCAGAGGCCTGTGGCCTCGGGAACGCGCGCGCGTTGTGATTGATTTGCCGACCCATCGGTCAGAAGAGATGGGCGGAAGCATGGAGTAGGAAGGCGTCAGAAGTATATCTTGGGTCTCCGCCCGCCCCCTGAAGAGGAGGGAAAGGGTGAAGCCACTCGATCATTGAAGTAGGGAGGCGCCCGAAGTATATTGGAAAATGGGAATCCAACAATACCTACTTTCAACGACCGATGGGTCAGATTGCTGCCTCGGGAACACGAGCCCGTTGTAATTCGCTACAGAGTGTGGCATCAGGGGCGAGCGCGCCGCAGTGTACGAGGGATTGTGGCTTCGGGGGCGCCAGCTGGGAGTCATTCGCGTGGGATTCTGGCCTCGGGGGGCGCGCGGATCTGTTGCGCTTCACATCGGCCAACAAACACACGACACCACCCCACCTGCGGCCCTCCAGGTTGCGCTACGGTCCATCGGGCGCCGTAGCGCATACCACGCCAAAGGCCACTCCGGATCTCCGGGTGTACGCTGAGCCCCGTGGGGCCGCAGGTGGGGTGGTGTCGGTCGTCTTCTGGTCCGTTGCACGTCCCGTGGCCCAGGTCTGAGGTCTCGGGCAGCGGCGGGGGAGCCGAGCCGCGCCCCCCGAGCACATCTGCTGTGGAGGCGGGGGTGGCACTCCTGGGCCGCCTTCGCGTGGGGCGGACTCGTGGCCTCGGTTGGACGCCGACCTTGAAGGGGCCCCAGGACACACAAATAAATACGTACAAATACAAAGACTCCCCATATTTTCCCGTCTTTTCCGGGTTTCTGTCTTCCCCCCCACCTGCCATATTGTTGTACATTTTCTGGAAAATCGACGATTCATTGTGTCTGTGAGTTTTTCCTCCCTTCCTGCAACTTGCTGTAAGTTGCTTGGGGGGGTGCGGCTTCGGGAGCGCGGGCGCGGCGTGATTTCTGCAGGGGCGTGCGGCCTTCGGGAGCACGCGCCGGCTGCAGTGTACCACAGTGGAGGCCGGTCCAGAAGGAAACCTGCCACAGGAAGCCCAACCCCGAGATCCCCGGGCGCCCATGTCGGCTACACGCAAGAGTGGCCCTGGGTAAGAGTGACCTTTGGTGCGCGGCTTCTTGGGGGGCGCGAGGAGGCCAAACACAAGGGCGCGAGACGCTAACACCGCAACGAGCGCGGCGATCGGGGGACCCCAGTGAGCGCGCACGAAAGGTCACTCCGGCGAAGGGTCACTCTTACGTCTGGTCGACCATTGATTCTTGGCGTGGGAGGGTCACGCCTTCCACAGCAAAACCATCGGAAACCAAGAAGCCCATGGCACCCTGGAGGCGAGCAGGGCGTTTCTTGGCATGGGCTCCCACTGTAGGGGTCGTGGCTTCGGGGCGCGGCTCTGTCACCTATTACGTGGCCCAGCGCGCCCCCCCAAGTCAGGTCACGTGGCTCTGGGGTGGTAGCCTGCTGGTTTTCGGGCTTCCCCCCTCGCGCGAACCTCAATCACCACGGCGTTGGAGCCAAACGAGGGAACACGATCGAACACTCGAGCCTGGGAGATGGAACAGGTGTCGGGAACAGGACAGCCTCGTCTTCGCAACCTGTGGTCCCCCAAGGAGGCCAGCTGGCTTTCGGACACGTGTTTGCTACGCGGGCACGTGAATAGCAGGATGATGTGGTCGATGGTGTCTTTTAAGACGTAAGGACGTCACAAGCGCCACTCCCGCTCAACCTGCGGGTGTTCGGGCCGAGAAACGAAACTTGGTACCCAGCCAACCGAGCAGACCCATCGACCGAGCTAGTGAGCGGCTTGCCTGCAATCGGTCGAAGCGAACGGTACCATCTTCAAACACTTCGCGCAGAAGGGCACCACAGCAGTGTACACAGTGTACACCACCTTGCTTGATTGGTTGCCGCCGAACAAGCAGGACGACAATGCGACGACTCTAAGTGGACTGCTCGCCCGTCTTGGGCAAAAACTTGAGGCGGGTGGCCAGGCGCCAAAACTACCAATGCAGCCCGTGGTGGTTGGAGATCCGACACATGGATGGCAAGTTCACGCATCTTGTCACTTGTACTGTTCTGCACACGGCTCTTTTCTGCGTGCCTTTGGGAGGGGACGGGGACTCGCAGCAATGCAGCTATTACCAGGAAAGCAAGATTGTGGTCATCTATGCGGCCGTACGCCACTGTGTGGTTAACACTATACTCTACTCAGTCCGTTAGCATTATACAGCGTGGGCAATCCGACGATGGCAGGGGATCGGTGTGCTTTGTGACGGCAAAGAACCGCATGGACATACGAAGCAAACCATTAACGGCAATGCCCGGCTTGAATCCACGACGTACGTGTGGATAATTACGAAAGCGCGAATAGTATCCATGTCCATCGAATCGGCACCCATGAACGGGACGCGTCTGTGACAAACGACCTTCGCGCAGACTGGGCCGTCCAACCTGCGACATCCGCCAAGCCCCGTTCAGGGCCCATGGCAACAAGATAAACAGCTGCGTGCCCTACACGTCGGTCGGAGGAGGTATATAAAACCATGAAGTAGGGAGGCGGACCAAGTAGATTGGATTCAGGCCCCGCCCCAGGGAAAACACTCAGCAAAAACATGCCGCCTCTTGAGGCAAGAACGGCGCTTAGAGTAGATTGGGTTCAGGGAGTCAAGAAATACCCACTCTGAACGACAGGCGTGTACGATGCGAAGCGCATGTGGGACTCCCGCTCGCCTTCGCCACCGAGAGGGGCAGCTGATGGGGGGGCGCGCTTCGCCTCGCGAGCGCGAGGCGCCACCGCAGCGAGCCTCGCGCGGGGCGCCAGGTCGCGCACGCGCCACAGAGGAACGGAAGGGGCAGCAGAGAGAGAGAGCGCATGTTCTACCCGCATCACATGAGCAGCGGCGCGCCCGCGCCACTGTCCGCCACTCCTCGGTGCTATGAGCGCGGCCTGGGCACCAGGAGAGCTCGAAGCTAAAGATGGTTGCAGCAGGGGTCGGAGAGGGAGAGTTACTTGGGCATGGATTTTCATTGGGTGGAAAAGAGAAAGAGAGAGAGAGAGAGAGAGAGAGAGAGAGAGAGAGAGAGAGAGAGAGAGAGAGAGAGAGACCCTGATCAACGCGCGCACTGGGGGGCTCACCAGGGCTCACGTGCTTCATCCAGTAGCACTCACCTCGCCAACCAGCTCCCAGGATAGTAGACTGCCGACGAGGGCACCTTTCTCACAGACTCGGTAATGAACCGGTGGTCACCATAACTGTATACAGAGATAGGAACAACAGTCGTATCTAGAAAGTTCTGCAACTGCATCGCCTCCGCTGTATGTGACGCCCTCAACGTCCACCAAGCATGAAGGACATCGTAATATCTGTCACGGTCCAGCGTCGGAGGCCTTGAAATCTGTAGCCCAATGCTAGTCACCCCACCCATGATCACCACAAAGATAACCACAGCACAACGTACCCATAATACTTTGAAGACCAGCAAAGTAACTCCCCCAAAGAAACCAATACATTCAGCACGCTCCTGGAGATCATGAAATCCAATGCCCTCGCCTTTGATGGTCGATAGGAACATGTCTGCTTTGCTCTGCGGCTCGTCTGGCACTTTGACACTAGCACTCTTGAACACCTTGTTCACACTCCCGACGATGTTCTTTTTCTTGATAGACTTCAGCACGGCCTTGATCAGTACTTCTTTGCTGTCCGACGATTTGACCTTTGCCCAGGATCGACTGGAGCCAGCCACACTCCGACCTAGAAAGGAACTCGCTGGCCCCACCGCGGCTCTGACGGCGCCGGCCACCGCCATCAGAACGACCACGAACGTCGTCACCTTCATCGCTGTCAGCTTCATCACGTGGCGTGCCATCCGTGGGGGCAGAGTGCCCCGTACTTTTCTGGGCCGTCTGCAAGCCCTTGAGGTGCTCCGCGGAAGAAGACTGGAGGGCGGCTGCAAGGGCTTGCCCCTGAGCGCGGAGGTCACGCTCCTTGGCCGCCTGCTCGCGCTCCTTTGCCATCTGTGCGTGCTCTGGATCAGCTGCTGCAAGCTGGCGGCGAAGAGATGCCGCGCGAAACTCCTTGGCCTCGTCCTCGGTGGCAAAGGATTGCCGCGCGGGAGGAGACCGCGGCGACGAACTGCCACTCCATGGACTCGGATACGGACTCGAATATGGGCCCACCTGCCAACCTTTGCCTGTGCCCTTCCCCATGCTGAAGTCGCGCTCGAGAGGCGGGCGCTCATCCCGCGAATGCGCGCGGCCAGGTGAGCGGCCTCGCCCCATGTCGGGAGGGCCCTGAAGTCGTTGCCACCGCAGAAAATGACATCGAACCTTTTGAACCGTAAAAGACCACGGTAAGCGAAATATACAGGCACGAAGAAGAGGAACGGGATATCCCATGATAAACAATTCCAACACTGCCTCCATAATCCACACTGCTGTGAGCGACGGGGAGAGACGCATCATGCGAGATCGAGCCAGGCGACCAGCCAGGGCCCCGTATAGCATCCCAAAAGCCCTCGGAAGAACACCAGGCCACGGAATGATAGCACTCGGTTCGCGTTGTCTAGAAACATCAAAAAGCCATTCACGATTCGGATTCTTGGGCGCCCAGATGAAAGTATCACCAGAACTCTGAAAGCGAAGATCTAGCCGCGTAACCTCTGAACGCTCCAAGGATGGGTCCGACGCTAGGGATGATGATACAGAATATGTAGTACGTGTAAACAGCGCTGCACACGAATGGCAGTAGGATGGACTCAGCGTAATAACGTCATCGACGAAGCGAAGTAACCCAATATCGAACTTACCATTAAGCATTCTCTGGAAACCTAGACGTGTGAAGCGGTCTGGACCCAAGCCCGACTGGAACTCCTGAGCCCCCAAGGGCGCACTGGGGCCCACGCCCGAGAGCACGCCGTCGATGGGAAGCCCTTGGAGCTCAAACACAAGGCCCACCACAGATACCAGACTTGCCCAACATAATGCCAACAGCCCCTTCCCCACATCAGATGCTTCGATACGGGGCCAACCTCTCGGGCAGGACGAAGACGACGCGGGCAGGATGCGTGCCTTCTTTGCACGTTTGACGAGGGCAGTTGCAGAGGGAACTTTTTTTGGCACACTCCTCTGCCACGGCGGCCCACGCTTCACCCACGCGGGAGGCTGTGCACTGCTCGTAAGCCTGATCCGCGTCATGGTCAAGAGTTGCAAACCCACTCATGGGGCTGCCACGCCGTAAGCATGAGCATCGAACTTCTGGGCCCAAATAGCCTCGAATATGAACGAGACGATCAACCGTTTCGCCAACCTCAAGCACTTCATGGCCGATGCCCGAGTGTGAAATCATACTCCTCGCAGCTCGGCCCAGGCTACGGTAGCCGTAAGTCCCAAGTGCATTTGATGCATCAACCGCGCGCCTCATGCAGGAGTGGTTAGGCTTGCAACAGCACTTCGCACCATTTGGTAAACAACACTTCGACTTCACGAGCGGGAACACCACTGGCACGTTGGTACTGGCAGTAATCCTCGGCATCTGGCGTCTTGAACGTAACCAATGAGGTGGGCCCAACTCCGCGCGCGCGCCCGCAGCCATGAGGCCAGATTGGATTCGGTCATATCACCTCTGTAGCGCCATGTCGGGTCCGCCTGCACTGCCTGGAGCAGGTGCCGAGCAGTATCAGGTCCATCAGCCTGCCAAACCACACCATGGGCTTTGTCATCCGAAAACAGAATGGAAGAATCAGGAATATCCGTGGAGAGATGGAGCATGTGCTCATAAAGGAAGCTGGGGGGGGGGGGGGGGGGGGGGGGGGGGGCGTGCGCGAACTTGGAACCGAGCTGTGCAATCCTTCAGTGACGATAGTCCGCGATCGAGTGATCTCTGAGGTAGGCGCATGCGAGACGCCCAAGAGTACAGCTCCTTACGGCGTGCTGCATACGTCGTGAACGGGGGCGGCCACCGTGGAAGTAGCCACACCCCTGGGGCAGCACCAAGGAGGCGATGGGGAACATGGGAGGCTTCAGGAACATGTGGAAGATGATGGACCTTTAATGTGTGGAAGAACCGAGGGGCTGTCACACGATCTTTCCAAATCGGAGTCTTCTCGAAACCATACTTCAGGCGAGGGAGAAGCCAACGCTGGGTATTCAGGACTTTGATGCCGCTGATGCAACGGCGAGCGCACGATTTAAAGAGCTCAAGCTTGCGATGGCCACGTAGAGCGGAAGGTGCACGAATCTGGCGAACACGTAGATTTGGAAGCCGAAGTTGGGATAGCAATCTATCTAATCCCAAAGAAGCTGAAGACACACGGTGATAGCTGCGCAACGACTCTGGGGCCAGGTTCGCAGCCCGATAGATCATGCCAGCCAGGCGAGTCGTTGGCCACGGAGGAAGCTGTACATGAGGACGATTACATGCTAGCCAAGTTAGTAATATACCAACCCGACCATAAGCAAACATATAGATAGGGCCACACGTGCCATCCGTGGAGAGCATCTCCCTCTGGTGACGGATATAGAGAGCACTATATGAACCTCCTTCGGGTAGCGCACCTGGAAGCCTATCTTGCCAAAGAATTTTATCACGCTGCCGTGGGTCACACGGGAAACATGGTGACCAAATCGAGGGTAAACGGTGAGCAGGTCGAAGCAACCGTCGCCAGGAGGGAGGGCGACGACGCGGGCGTTTTTCTTATGCCCGAAGAGTAGCGCCTGTCCTCTGCGTAGTCGTACTGATGAAGCCTCGCAGCGGTCTGCGGCATTGGCTGTAGGCGCGGGTTGACGTAGTGCGAAAACCTCAAGTAGTAATGCGGAGGATCCAGAGGTCGTCCAAACAACAGGGAGGAAGAAGAGTGAGCCCAGACTTCGTCTGAGCATACGATACCTTGGACGGTCACCTGGTGGCTTGCGTGGGTATAGAAGACAGCGCGCGTGCTCGGCCACCCTGGCGCAGACGCCAGGAAGGCCTTTCCTGGAGAGAGTAGTCTTCCCACAGTAAACCGCCGAGAAGGAAGCCAAGGTGTATACCACCGCGTCATACACACAAATTGGGCCCAACACTGGCGCTCGTGCCATACGGAACACAAGATGATCGTGAGGAACAGATACAGCATGCTGCCATTCTGGCGGAAGAAAGGGTAAGACATGACGAATCCACTTGCACCCAGACTGGTGCTGCAATGCCCATCTGAGTCTCAGGACACCCGACACCATGAGGAAGCTCGAGAGGACGGAGTAGAGTGCTGTTCCACGAATTTTACATTCAGATACACCTTTGTAACCAATACTCGATGTGCAGATAGCCAAAGCAAACGAAATGGCCGCAATAGAGGAAGACGAAGACGGTTGTGTAGCAAGGACCATGGCCAGTCAACCAGCTGGCGCACTGTGTTCCCATCATATGAGGAGCAGCCGAGTAGGCGGCGAACGTACGACGCAGTCGTCCGAGAAATCGAGGATGGCAAGGGCCACGGTGTCCGAGTCGAATAGACACAGTCAATCTCAATCTGAGGAAGCATGAGGACGCACACGAAGAGAATCAAGTACACCTGCTGAATATGGAATAGACCTTGGGGGTGGACGTCTCCCGCGAGGAAGGACGACCACATGAACCCAGCACTCCCGTAGCCACGTCGCTGGCCGGATTAGAACTGGTCAGAGGGAGTATGTTCTACCCGCATCACATGAGCAGCGGCGCGCCCGCGCCACTGTCCGCCACTCCTCGGTGCTATGAGCGCGGCCCGGGCACCAGGAGAGCTTGAAGCTAAAGATGGTTGCAGCAGGGATCGGAGAGGGAGAGTTACTTGGCCATGGATTTTCATTGGGTGGGGGGGGGAGAGAGAGAGAGAGAGAGAGAGAGAGAGAGAGAGAGCAGAGAGATAGAGAGATAGAGAGAGATACAAAACAACAAACATTAGAGAAATAGAGAGAGAGAGAGAGAGAGAGAGAGAGAGAGAAAGACAGGGAGATAGAGAGAAAGAGAGAGAGAGAGAGATATACCAAACACACAGACACACACACAACGAGAGAAAGGGATAGAGAAAGAGGGAGAGAGAGAGAGAGAGAGATTGAGAGAGAACGAGAGAGAGGGAGGGAGATAAGGCGGTGGCAAGGGAACTCGGTTGACCATCTTCTTCCCCCCATATGGCGCGAAGGAGGATGCCACCGCTCTGACGTCCGTTCCCCGTGCACTCTTCGGCTTCGTGCATGAATTAACTGTTCGCAGGATGGGCCAAGATGTTCCTCGAGGGCCCTCGCCGAGAAGAGTGCCCACGTCCAAGCGATGCCAAGAGGAGGACGGGAGAGGTGGAGGACGCCGGTGGCCAACGACGATGGCCACGAGGGCCTCCTCGTTGCTCTGGGAATCGAGAGCGACGCGCGCTCTCGCGGTCCGCGCGCGGCGCCCCTCGGCCCTCGCGCGGCCGCGCCTAAGGGGAGGCAGGTGCTGTTTCCGTTGCTAGCCCCCTCCTCCTCCCCCTCCTCCCCCTCCTCCCCCTCCTCCCCCTCCTCCCCCTCTTCCTCCTCCTCCCCCTCCTCCTCCTCGTCGTGCTAGTCCTTGTTCCGTAGCCATGTGGAGTGAAGCCATTTTGGCTCAAGGTTTTGTTGTTCACCGTGAGCCCCATGGATACCGCTGTGCCGCGGTTCGCTTCCACAACTTCTTCAGTAACTAGTCCGCCCCAATTGCTGCTGCCTCCCGTTCTGGCGGCTGAGCAAGCGTTCTTGTGAGCTCATGTCGGGGCGCTCTCGCACCCGGGTGGCGGCAGGCATGGTGGCGGCAAAGGTGGTCAAGGCTGCGGTGGAATTTCCCAACCGTACTTCGGCCGCGCGCAAGAGCTTCACGAACAACCGCTTTTGCTACCAGAGCACGGCGCCGCCGCCCATCAACAATCCCAGTGCGGTCAAAAAGCTGGATCCGCAGTGGGCACCGCAGGCACTGCAGTCGCCTCGAAATGGTCCCACACTTGCAGAAGCGGCGCAGGCTCCATGGCAAGTCTCCAAGGGCGACACGGTCCGAGGTGGTCCTCCGCCGCCCAAGGCTGCGTCAGCGTCTTCGTCGAAGGGCGCGGGGGGCTTCGCGCGCAGGCCTCGGGCTTGGGACAGTTCGAAGTGGCCTCCCTGGGGTGGCGCTGCCACGGCCCCAGACCAGGAGGACCCGAAGACAAGTTCGTTCCCCTGGAGGGGCTCAGAAAACAGCTGGGCGACAGCGAGGTGCTCGAGCGCATCTCCGAGCTACTCCAGGCCAAGCAGAACAACGCGGCCGCCCAAGCACCGCCGCGCACTCCATTGTTGGATGGGGGAGGTGGAGGCCGAGGCAGTCGATGAGGCCTTCGCGGTGCAGCAGACGTGGGAGGAGGCTTGCGCAAAGCATATCTCGTCGCCGCCGCTGGAGGCCTCGACGTCGGTGCCCTCGACGCCCGTGGTTTCGTCCATAAACCTGTCGACGCTCGCCGACGAGGGCCCCCCTCGCGATCCTCGACGGCCCCCTGCTCAACGTGGACGGCTCAAAGGCCTCAAGGGCGTCCAAGGGCGGCACGCCAGATACCCTACCTCGCACTTTCCGCTCACTCTTTGCATTCCATCCATCCATCTCTCTCTCTCTCTCTCTCTCTCGCTCTCTCTAGCTGCGCTGCCGAACACAACCATGTCTCGCTTGAACTTGGCGCAGGATCTGACGGTCGCGACCTCAAGGCCTACCCGGGGGTCGAATTCGCTTCGTGACACTCGGATGCTGGGCGCGCCTGTCGGAGGGGAGCGGGGGAACAAAGAGAGAGAGACCGAGATGTCCGTCAGCGTCTTCGCAGCCCTCTCCAGGCGATGGGCGGCCTTGGCCCCCCAACCATCCTTGGAGTTCAGAACATCGCATCCCCCTGGAATGGGACAGTAATTGATACGTCTGCTTTGCGGGCCCTGTTTGATGAGAAAACTCCAGCCTCTCAAAAACGACCTGAGGGGCCTGGGGAACGACGTGAACAATCTCAACGACCAAGTGCGCGAAAACGATGAAATGATGAACTTTAACATCGGCCGACAACGATTCAGCAGACCTTGCTGAGTTCAAATAGTAGTGCGAAGAACATTATTCATAACTTGAGGTTGTGAGCACGCCTGGAAACATTCAGGCTTGGTAGCGGGAGCTTCGAGGCGAGGTTGACATGATGATGCATCCAGGGCCCCCCCGACAGAGTTGGACAGTCTTTGCTAAGTTGTCACTGGTGGTTTGGATTCCTTGATGAGTTTTGATGGGGGCAACGTGGGTCCAAGATGCCCGATGGAATTTGCGGGGCCCCCAACCATCATATATCTACATCAAGGGTGGCTTCGACGGGCTCGTCATTGCAAAGTTCGGTTCGCAGACAAGTCGACAGCTGGAAACGAACAGGTTTGGGCCAAGCCAGATTTTCCACTTGACAAACAAAGTGTTCGGGGCATTGCTTTTGGAACAAAATGCATCATGCCGAAATTGGGCTGGTCACGGTCCGAGCTCAATGTCGATTGGGGCACTGCCTCCAACGACGGCAAGGCGAGCTTGTCCGGTGGCCTCGCGCGGAAGGTTTTCTTCGCCGGCGGGGAGGTGGAGTGCAGCCCAGAATGGAGAGAATACATAGTCACGGATGAGCATCCTGAGTTCCGCGACATGCTCCGCGAGAACAGGGGCAAAGCAACCAGAGGCGGCGGCGAAGGCAAGACCAAATTTGGCGTTGTCACGCGCCACTAGGGACAGCTTCGGTCGAATCGAGTTTCGCCCCATGCGCGACATGGGACTCTGCACGTGCATTGAATTGCAGGAGCGCTAGGTTGAATCAGCCAGCGCGGATTGCGGAATTAATGGGCGAATTGCACAATGCATTGGCACAATGCATTGTGGGGCGCCGTTCTGTTCGGCGGAACTCGAAGGCCAGCGTGTATCTTGGATCTGGAAATCGGGCATCAGCTCTACGCGCGTCTTGCTGGTTGCTGCTCGGCAGGAGTCGCTGTTCTTGTTCGCCGTCGCCACGTTCCCAACGTAATTTTTTTACGAGTCCATCTGGCCGGGCTATTGCCTTGAAGGCTCAAATTTTTTGGTGGCCATTCACGTTCGATGCAGCTCATGTGCACCGCGCGGGCTATCTTATTGAAGACTTTCGCAAAATCGTTGACCAGCTTAGCGCTGCCATTTCTGATGCTTCTCGGCTCGGTGCAAACGTCGTCCTTGGCGGGGGCTACGCCATGGGGCACGAGGGCCGCAAGTGGACCACGTGGTGTCCTCCGCCGGCCTGCAGGCAGCAAGCGAGTCCGACGGGCAGAGCTTTGAGGGCGCATGGACATTCAAAAGCTCTCTTGGGCACAGGCGCCGGATCGATTTTATCTTCGCCATCCAGTGTTTGGAGCTAGTCGAGGGACAGGCGGCCGACGGCGTCAGCCTAGGATCTGACCGCAGAGCAGTTTTGGCGGAACAAGAAGCGCAAACAAATCATCAGAGGATGGGCCCCGCGCGACGACGAGAGCGCATGCCATCCAGGATTGGATCATGGAACGCGTTGTTCGAGAAGTCGCCAACGAACGCGGCAGCGGCCCCGAGAGAGCAAGGAGCGACAAATTTTGGAGCGATGCAGAGTTCCAGCCCTTGCTCGCGCAACGGCGTGCGTGTTCAGACGCAAAGGGCCGCGGGAAGCTGTCCGGGCAGATCCACAAGCAGGCGCGCACAGAGATTCGGCGGTGCAGGAAAGACGGGGCTGAACATGTTCTCCGGGAGTTCAAAGACCTGGATCAGATAGAGCGGTTGCGGTTCCTTACCGTGCAAAACAAGCGGCAAATTTCATCTGCGGACGCCTCCCCGCAACAATTTGCAGATTTTCCTGCTGATATTTTGGCTTCTGATTGGGTGCGCGACGCAAGCGTCGACTCGACGACCGAATGTCTGCAGCGATTCCGGCGACGGGGGCTCGAGGATGTCCCTGAATTCTGCGTGGACCAGCGGAAATACGCTCTGCGTAAGATGCGTTGCTGGAGGTGCCAGGACGAGTGCGGCTTAGTGGTCGAAGTGTTCAAGTGCGCATCCGGCGCAGCATTGAGGCTTGTGCTGGCCGTGTTCAGAAACATCCTGCGGACGGGCGCCGTCGATCCGAGCTGGCGCGACGCGCTGTTTGCGATGCTTCCGGAAAAAAGAAACAGGGGCAAACCCGGCGCGTGGCGACCCATAGCCATCTTGCGGACAACGTATAATCTATACTCAAAGTCGGTATAAAAGTTCAGAGAGCACTTTGACGCAAAGCATCCACCAGATTAAATAGGCTGCCGGAAGCAACGCTCAATCAACGATGCTTTCGCCGTGCTAGAGAATGTGCGCGGCAAGCCCGCGGAGTGGTATATTTCGCGTTGGGTTGCAAGCCTTGGTCTGAAGACAGTTTTCCTCATAATAGAATATCCTGCTCTATTCGAGGACTTGCGCGTGCAAGGTGTGGGCCAATCGTGCATAGCTCAACTTGCGATGCTGTGCAATCATCAGACGAAGCGCGTGCGAGGCTGGCGGCGATTCGGCGTCAACAGAGGTGTCAAGCAGGGGCGCGTCATCGGCCCCATGCTGTTCAGCGCCCCCTGGAGCTCGCACTCTCAAGGTGGGAGCTCTCTCTTGGCAGTCGTGGACTTGGCATGGGCGGCGTGTCCGGCGAGAGGCTCACCGACGTCCAATGCGCCGACGATCTTATTGTCTATGCCACATTTCGCAACGAACTATGCGATATGATAGAGTCCCTGTGCGTTGAACTCCGCCGTTTTGGCCTGCACCTCGATGCCGCGAAAACCAAATCCCTGACGACGGAGGACCTTCCCAGGCCAGCGTGCGCCGAGATCGGCGACGACATGGTCGAAATTCTGTTCGGCAGCGATGCTCATTTATTTTTTGGAATGAAAGTGCCGGGGTCCTTGCGTCAACGCGCTGTCGCGCCGGTTCCAGGCCGCCTGGGGCAAGTTCCATGAGCGGCGGCTAGCTCTTACTGACGGGCAGATTCCCATCCGTCGCCGCCTCGAGCTCTTCGATTCAGTCGTAACGCCTAAGGTGCTGTTCGGTCTGCCAGCGCTTGCCCTGACGACGCGCCAAAAAAAGGCAGCTGGGCGATCTGCAACGACGAATGCTGCGCTTGATTGTGGAGTGGGTGCGGCTTGACGACGAAGGCTGGACCATCACGATGCGTCGAATGAACGACGGGGTCGACAGAGCTCTGTCATCTTACCTGGTTCAGAATTGGCGGGAAAGTTGACCCACCTGCAGTACAGCTTCGCCAGCCAGCTTGGACAGAAACCCGACAGCTGAGCGTACCGAGTATCAAGATGGAGCCCGCCGCCACCTATCCCGGGGCAGGCCGTGGACGAGGCCGTCCAGCATGTCGCTGGGACGATTACTTACAAAGGTACTCGCTTGCAACATGTGGTGAGCCATGGTACGTTGCTGCTCGAGACTGGAGGAAGGCGCGCGCCGGCCGAGGGCTATGCGCGAGACTTCTGGGGTCAAAATCGCATGCTCATTTTCCATCGCCCACACGACCTCATAGTTCTCTGCCCACGTCCGCTTGCGGACCGACTCGATTCGACCGGGCCTTGCCTTGCCGACAAAGCCGAGTGGGATCGGATCAAATCTGAGCTGGCTGCGAACGTGTAGCAGGAGGTGCAGAAGGCCTTGGGGCCTGCGGCCGGGCAGATCCTCGAGCTCAGAGGGGAAGCGAAGTGCACGCCAGGCTAACAGCTCAAGCGGCGCAAAGGCGCCTGTGGGCGCTCGGGCCGCTGCAGAAGCTACTCCTGTCCTTGCTGGGCCTCCTGTTGCGGCTGAAGGTCTTCGAGCAGTTGCGCGTGCCAGAACCAAGGCTAGGGGGGCGCCGGCAAGCCTGGAATGGCTGAATCAAGCCTTTGATGATGTCAAAGCAAGCTTGTCAAGAGCCCGCCAACCCATTCCGCGAGATCCCGTGATGGGTGAGCCTTGCTCAGGATGCTCTGGTACCAGGCTTTCCGCCTGGGGGCGGCACGGCCAGGACGTGGCAGTAGTGGGCTGCCCACGTTGGCGACAAACCCCTCCCCCACTGCTCTCGGAAACGCTCGCGATGACCACGACCGCCGCGGGCAGGTGCCACCAAAGGGCGGCGTCGTGGTGGAGCTGCCACTCCGCGAGCGGCTGCACCTCCGAGGGGCTCTCACGACCCTTGGGAGCGACTGTGCGAGCAATCCTGCGCGGAGCTTGATGCCAACCGCAGAAGGCGAACTCCCCAGGAATCTCCTACCACCGACGTGGGCCTCCCACCCTGCGATCTCCACCTGCACTGCTGGGGCGGGGAGGAGAGGACCCTCTGCGACGAGCTGCACGGAGGGGCAGCTGCGTGGATGGACGATCTTTCTCGCGTGGGTCACTCTGAAGCTGACTGGAGGCTGTGGTGCGAGGCCTCCCTGCGGCAAGCAGTGCTCAACGACCCTCGCCGCGCCCCATTGCGGGCCAAGTGTCCAGCGCGCGTGCCCCGGGCGCTCCGTCGAGGACATCGTCAACGACATCTGCGCCGCACCTTAGGAGCGGTCGGGTTTGCGACGGCAGGGGCTTCATTCGGTGGCTCTGGCAGGCAGTCCCAGCAGCGTTTCGCAGGGCCGTGGGGGACCATCGCCGCCACGAGCTCACCCAACTCCGCCGATTCCTCAGACGGTTCCTGGGCAGCAACGTCCCTGATGGCGCGTCCAACCGTGAAGCTGGAACACCGTGCGCGGCTACCTTCCTCCTCCTCCTCCTCCTCCTCCTCCTCCTCCTGGCACGCATCACGGGGACTGCCCTTTCCTGCTCCTCCTCCTCCTCCTCCTCCTCCGCCTCCTCCTCCTCTTCCTCCTCCTCCTGGCACGCATCACGGGAACTGCCTTCTCCTGCTCCTGCTCCTCCTCCTCCTCCTCTTCCTCCTCCTCCTCCTCCTCCTCCTCCCGCACTCATCACGACACCCACCACAGGAACAACGGCCCACGCGCCCTGCCGCGGGGGCTCAGACCTGGGAGCGGAACGACGCGGGCGGGGCGGAGGGCTGCACGGGGAACTGCGCGGCGGTTTGGGCGGCGGGCAGCGGTTGAACGGCGCGCACGGTCATGGGGGCGGCCGCCTCCGGCAGCGGGACCACCACGTGGCCCTCCTTGGAAAAGTACGAAAAGTAATAAGGACAATAACGAAAATGCGAATAAGAAGAAAACCCAACATACGAATAGCACGAATAATAACACAATGACTAAGGGTAGATACTAACACCACTAAAAGACGAGTCGTAGGAATCAAACTCCACAACTACTAATACTACGAATAATAATGCTAATGCTGCTACTAAGAATGCTGGTACTACTGGTAGGAAGAATGATGATCAACAGCTCAAAATAATCATCATGATGCAAATGCTGTCGGCAATCTAAATGATGAGAACAAAAATAATACCACTAATGCTGAAAAAGCGGCATGACAGCATGAGCTTTCGGAGGTCCGCGCGGATTCCTTGGGTCGGCCCCAGTGCCTCCCTCTCCGGCGCCCCAAGGGTGGCGCCGGCCGCTGGGGGGTCCAACGCCGACGCAAGAATCCGCGCGGGAGCGGCCACTGTGCGGCAGCGGGGCCACCACGTGGCCCTCTCTTCGCGGGGGGGGGGGGGGTGCAGGCGATATAAAGGCGGCCCTCCCCCCAGATCTCCGACGATATGACATTGTTCCAACGTTGCGTATACGTACACACAAGCATATGTATGTATGTATATGTATATGTATATGTATGTATATATATATATGTTTGTAAAAATACTTATATATATGTGTACACACAAGATCTTGTTGGCTCGCTTAGCTTCGCCACAACATCTTGTCCCTCATCCGCGTCCTTGGCGCGGGAGTGCGGATATGGTATCTCACTGTGCTATGTGGAAGATGGACTGTGGTGTGCTCGTGAACTTCATGGTTGTAGGTGTGTAGATATGATGTGTGCTTGCGAGCTTGGCAGCCTTGGGAAATTAGAGATGTTGTGGCTGCAGGGCGGACTACGGTCCCGCTCGTGCCCGTGCTGGCGCTCGCGTTGGAAACCGCGCCAGCGGGTGTGCTGGTGGTCGTGCTCCTGGTCACGGTGGCGGTCGTGGTGTTGATGGTGCCAGGCGTGCTGGTGGTCGCGCTGGTGGTTGTGCTTGCGTTCGTTGGTGGTCGTGCGGGCGGTCGTACTGGTGCTGATGCTGGTGGGGCTGGCGGTTGGGCTGGCGGTCGTGCTGCGGTCTGGTTGGTTTTCGTTGTGGTTGTCGTGCTCGTTGTCGTGCTGGTGGCCGTGCTGGTGATCGTGCTGGAAGGGGGCGCCCGCGGTCGTGCTGGTGGTCGCGCTGGTGGTCGTGCTCGTGGCCTCGCCGGAACAGGGGCCCTGGTCGTGCTGATGGGGCGCGCGGGCGGTTCGCGCCGCGGGACCCACGTGGGCATGTTATGCGCGTGTGCTCTCGTAAGGGATGATCATATCCAGGGGCGCAGAATCCCCCAGCGGGCAAAACTACTTTTTGGTTCACGTCGACGGCTGATTTTTCTTCTGGGGCCCGGCATGGGAGGCGTCTGGCGCCTTTCGGGCAGGCCGGCGCCGAGTGGCCGTCGCAGGCATGGGCGTTCGTAAGGACTGGGCATATCTAGGGGCGCAGAGCCGCCCATCAGGCCGAATCAATGTTTGGTTCACGTCGACGGCTGCTTTTTTCTGTCGGGGCCCAGGATGGGAGGCGTTTGGCGTCTCCGGGCAGGCAGCCCCGATGTCGCCGAAGCTGGCGGTCCCGAGGTGCGCTGCGAACTCTGCCGATGCCGGACACGAGGAGGAGGAGGAGGAGGAGGAGGAGGAGGAGGAGGAGGAGGAGGAGGAGGAGGAGGGGAAAGAGGAGGAGGAGGAGGAGGAGCAGGAGGAGGAGGAGGAGGAGGAGGAGGATCGGGCACGAGCTGGACCTTGGCGCCCCGAGCGCCAGCCAAGCGGAGCGACATATCTCCACAAGGGCGGGCGCGGGGGCGGAGAAGGACTGATCGAATGCGACCGCCCACTTGCCGCTGCTGCCGCAGAAGGTGGTCGCTTCGGTAGGGGAAAGAGACGCTGAGCAATGCGGGCAAGTTCGGTCCATTTCTCCGACGGAGAACGGCACGTCTTGAAAGGGGTGGTCAGCCCACTGCGCTGCATTCGCGGCAAATGCTGTCATGCGACCTGTCGCGGTCGACGGCGAAGGTCTTTGGCACGGAAAGCCCGCACTGAATGCAACACACTTCTGGTCGGCGTCGGGAGAGGCCGGAAGCCTTCGGGGCACCGGCGGTGCAAGCGAGGCAAGCGCGGGAAGCTCGGTTGCGCTGACGGATGCTGAAGTCCAGCCGTGGAACGTCCTGATCGCAGCGAGTGCAATGCAGTGTATCTGCGCTGGGACGGCCGCGGGAGGCTGGCCGTTTGCGCACGGCGGACATCAGCGAAAGTCTTGAACCGAAGCGTACGGAGGAGTCCGAGGGAAAAGGATCTCGCGTGAGAAATGAACACAGACAATGGCCTGAAATGTTACGTGTGTCTTCGTTACGCGATGCTATGCGGCGGGTTCTTATGCCATGCTGCGCCATGCTACGTTATGCTAGGCTGCGCCACGGTCAGACTGAGCGGGCACAAACGGTCTTACGCTCTCCTTGCGCGCGCGTGGCTGGATGGGCGAAGGAGGAGGAGGAGGAGGAGGAGGAGGAGGAGGAGGATGAAACCTCCAGAAAAACGGATGTCTGTTCTGTATCCCGGAGACGGTGGAGGAAAACGAGGATAAGGCGATGGAGGAGGAGGAAGGCGACGAGCACGAGGGAAGGAGGAGGGCAAGGAGGGGGAGGGAGAGGCAGAAAGTGGGGAATGGAGGAGGAGGAGGAGGAGGAGGAGGAGGAGGAGGAGGAGGAGGAGGAGGAGGAGGAGGAGGAGGGGGGAGGAGGAGGAGGGGAACGAGAACTGGGCTGTCCAACGTCCAAGAAAGTGACGTCGAGAGTTATCTTAGAACTCTTTTGGGCTCTAGTGGGGATCTCTTGAGGGAGGGCCTCGTGGGCCATCTTGGGGGGAGCTTAAGAAGAACTTGGGGCGTGGGGGGGGGCCTCTGAGGCGAATCAGAAGATAATGAATGCGACGTCCGTAGCCCTGATTGGAGCTCCTCTTGGAGTTTTTTACGGTCATCGGGGGGCCTTCTTGGGCTGTCCTGGGGCCCTCGTGGGAGCTTCGGCCGTCGGGGCCGCTTTGGGGCACTCTTGGGCTGTCCTGAGGCCTCCCGTGGCACTCTCTGAGGCTTCCCGTGGCGCTCTTGTGGCCCTGTTGGGGGTCTCTTGGGGCTGCCTTGGGCTCTCCTTGGCTTGCTTCGGGCTCTATTGGGTCATCTTGGGGCCCCATTGGGCCGCCTGGAGGGCTTTGGGGAATCTCTTGGCCCGTCTCGGGGCAACCTCGGAAGCTCGCAAACCAGTTTTGCGTTGTTCTTGCCCAGAAAAGGCGGGGCACACACAATCCTTCAACAAACTACAGAAAAAGCAATGTTTTTTTGGCTCGTCAGGCCCTCTTGGATGATCTCGTGCGGGTATTCTCGGCCGTCTTGATGCCATGTTGGGCTTTCTTGGAGCGCTCTGGGGCCGTCGTGGGGCCTTATCGGGCCTTCGTGAGGACGTTTTGGAAGTGCCTTCAATGCCTTCTGCCGTCCTCACCACTGCCCTCACCACTGTCCCGACCGCCACCGTCCCCACCACTGTCCCACTGTCCCCACTGTCCCCGCCACTGTCTCATCACTGTCCCCTCACCACTGTCCCCACCACCACCGTCCCCACCACTGTCCCACTGTCCTTACTGTCCCGACTACTGTCCCACCGTCCTCACCACTGTCCCCACCAGTGCCCCCTCCACTGTCGCACTGTCCCCACTGTCCGCACCACTGTCCTCACCACGATCTCACTCTCCCCACTGTCCCCACCGTCCCCACCACTGTCCCACTGTCCCCACTCCCCACCACCGTCCCAACAACTATTCCCATCGTTTGCCAGCAGAGAGGAGGAAGGGGGGGGGCTCGAAGCGGTAGTGACCCCCCCCCCTTTTCATGATGGACCGCGGAGGGAGGTTTGGCACCCCCCAGTGATCCCCCCTGGTTTTCGAAGGGGGGGGGAGGGTTGAAACCCCCAGTGACCCCGCCCGGTTTTCTGTCAGCAGCGGCAGAACACGCTCTTCCACACACACACATACACACACCCACACACCACACACGCACATACATGTGTACATGTGTATCTACATAAACATACATTCCTTTTCACATATCTTGTTAAAGGGCCGGGGACCCTGGAAAAAGTCCCCCCCTAACGAACTTGGCCTACCCCAGGCCTCTCGGGTAACCTTCCTGACGACCCGGGAGAACCCCACGAGAGCCCGAAGACGGCCCCACAGGCTCCAAGCGTCCCGGCGCGCTCCCGAAACGACCCCAGAAAGCCCCAAAACGGTCCACGACGACCCCAAAGAAGCCGTCATACCCCAAAAGATCGCTCGAAAACGTCCGAAGATGCCTCCAAGAGCACTCCCAAGAAGGCCCCAAGATGCACAATTCATTGATTTTCTGTTGGTTATTTGTGAGTTTTGGGATTTTCTTCTTTTCGGTATCCCGACGCTCCAAGACGGCGGTCTTCTGGGCGTCCGAAGCCGCCTCGGGAACTCGAAAATCACCCCACAACAATCGGAAAGGGCTTCCAGGCAGTCCAAGAGAGTTCCAAGGTGGCACAACAGGGTTCCAAAATGGCCTAAGAGAGCCCCATGACGGCCCAAGATGGCCCGAAACATTCCAAATCGTGACCCGGTCGTTCAGGGAGACCGCGGTTGGAGGCAGGGTGGCCCGAGGAAGCCCCCAGAGGCCCCCAGAAGACGCCCAGGAGGCCTCCAGAAGGCCTTAAGAACGCCTGAAAAACTGCTGCGAGGCCCCAAGGCTCTCCAAGGAGGAGACTTCGCAAAAAGAGCTGAGGAGGATGGGGAAAATACGCAGGATACGGCGAGAATGAGGAAAAAGAGAAAATTGAGGAAGGATAGCGAACAGCAATATTATAACGGCGATGCCGGAAAAGGCAACCATGAATTATCGCTAAATCGTCGGCTTGACCCTCCTGGGCCTCTTGGGCAGTCTTGGGGCGGTCTTGGGGGCCTCTGGGGCCATCTTGGAGCGTCGGAAACCCGAAAATGCAAGAACGCGAAAAGCATCGAAGAACACAACGAAAATCAATGATGTTTGCCTCTTTGGGCCCTCTTGTGGGTCATCTTGGATCGCCCTTGGGGCTTCTTTGGGCCGACTCGGTTTCTGAGAGTTCCCGCGTTTTGAGGGCGGATTGCAGTTTTCACCCTGTCTCTCTTTCCCTGTTGCTTTCTATGTTGCTCATGTCTCCCTGTGCCGAGAGGGTGTCTCGCCAAACTGGCCAGACCGCCTCAGTTCAAAGCATCTCCGACCCCAGAATTGCGAGGGCGTCTCTTGCGAAACTGGCCGGACCAACCACGATGTCGGCAGATGTTTCTGAGCGCTGGCCCCTTGGCCAGAACTAGCTTTTACCGCAACAGTCAGCGCAGCTGTTTGGGGAAGCGCTGTAAATCATGGCGCCAACGCGAGCGGAAGGGGAACAAGAGAAACAAGGAACGGACAAGAGGGGAAGCGGGAAAGAGAGGCGACATGTCCAGCTGGGCTTCCCTGATTGAGCCGTGCTCTTGATGCATGATTCTGACTTGTGCACTTGCTGGCAAGACAACGCGGCCCGGACAACCGCTTGAACACCCCCGCACGAATCTGGACCCCCCCCGACAACCTCCCTTGGACAAAACTCCCCATGATTTTTCCATTAGATCTAATACGAGCGCCTCAACGCCCAATGAGCTCATCAGCCCGAGGAACCCGCTGAACTCAAGTACGGCTGCGGGCTCTCCGAACCTCGTGATCTCCAGGAGCCGCGCTACCCGAAGTACCCCTTTTCCACATTCGCGCTCCGAGCTTTTGGGCCCGAGTGGCGGCGAAAAGCTCTTCAGACCTCTGACCCAAAGGGGCCCATGGGTCCTAACAGCGCTGTGTGGCGCATGGGCCCCATTGCCAGAACGCACAGCGGTGCTGGCCACTTCCAGTCGCGGCGCGTCGCTGGCGCCAGGCGACCGAAATTGTGAAGGCAAAACGAAGTCAGCCAGTAACCTGATGTGTATATGTATGCATGTACGTGTGCATGTATGTATTTATGAGTGCATGCATCTGTATATATATATACATATATATATAGATATATCGATGTAGGTGTGTGTGTGTGTGTGTTTGTGTGGTGTGTGGCATGCACGTATGTATATATACATATATATATATATATATATATATATATATATGCTCGCCCCCCCCCCCCCCAGCGCACCCCAACGACCATCTTTCTCTTCCTCCTCCTGGCTCCCTCACGCTCCTCCCCTCGTCAGGCTCAGCATGTTCGATGGCGATTGTTCGAGAAGGCACCTGAGGCCTCTTGGATGTTCGTTGGGATATGGTGGGAGGCATCTCGGGGATCTGTTGAAAGCAGTTTTGAAGCCTCTTAGGGGCAGTCTGGGGGCCTCTGGGGGCCTCTTGGGCGCCTCTTGAGCTTCTTGGGGGCCTCTTGGATCCTCCTGGAGTTGATGATGACGAGTGCGATGATGATGATGATGATGATGATGATGACGATCATGGGGCTGAGGACGACGACGATGATGATGATGATGATGATGATGGGGATGGTTCTGATGACGATTGCGATTAAGATGATGGCGATGGCAACGATGACAATTGCAATGCTGATGATTTTGATGATGACGAACACTATATTTCATCAGCGTCCTCACGCTCACTTTCATCATGTAGTTAACGTATTGTGCTCAAGCCGTTGCCAAGCATGCGCTAACGTGTTTGTCTTTTTTGTTGCTGTTGTTTTTTAACATGCCATCCTTGTGCATCAATCTGGATTGCAAGTTCGGCGCGATCAACAAACAGGGCGAAAACGCTGGCCCAGAGCCCGCAGCATTGCCCTCGCGGCCTTGCCGCTCGGCCGCCGCCAGCTGCCATGGGCAAGGGCCAGAAGTACTTCCCGCCCGCGAAGAGAGGCAAGTTGCGCGCCTTCTTGAAGGGCGCTGGCAAGAAGAAGGCTGTCATGAAGAGCACCGCAAAGATGAAGATGAAGAGGGGAGATGCCCCCAAGACTCGCGCCCCGAAGAGCGTGCCATACGCGCGCCACGGAGCCTTGACGACAAAGTCGCGGCGAGACCGCGAACAGTGGGCACGCTGCCTGAAGGACATCGTGAACCGCCCCCTGAGGACTATCATCAACTTGCTCAAGAAGGATGGCGTCCTGCCCGAATGGCACGGCGTGGCTTGTCCGCACTGCCAGAGGTCAACGCTCGGCCCTCTCAAGAACTTCGGGGCGAAGGGGGGCGGGTGGGCGCACATGTGCAAGGGCAGAGACTGCAAGCGCCGCGTACTGCCCCATGCCTTCCACCCTATCTTTCGCGTCGGTACTGGGAAGTCCCATGCTGGGCTTGGTGACCAGGCTGCGATCTTGTTCTGCGCTGTATCTGGGTGCACGCAGACGACAGTTCGCTACCTGCTGAAAAAGAACCACAAGTTGGCGGAATACATATACAAGTCTCTGTACGATGCCAGAGCCAAGTACGTGCGGCGGGAAGAGAAGAATATCCGCTTCGGCGAGGATGTCGAGTGGCCCGACGTCGAGGCGGACGAGGTCGACGTTGCCAAGGGCGAGGACCCAGACGCCACCTCGCGCACCAAGGAGCCAGTGGCGTGGGAGCAGTGGGGCGGGATTGTCCAGCGCGGAGACCCTAAGTCGCTCGTCCTCTTCAGGCTTCGCCCAGAGAAAACAGTGCGGAGGGCGCCAGGCCCGGGCCCGATCCGCAAGCGCGACTGGGCCCCGCTGGCCAAGAAGTGGCTCAAGCAACGCAAAGTCATACTCCACACAGACGGCGCCCGCTCCTACAAGCTGCGCGTTGACGGCGTGGTCCACGACTGGGTCGTCCACGTGAAGAAGCGCGTGAAGGCCGCTGGTGTTTGTGTTTGGGTGGGTGGGTGGAGGAGGGGAAGGTGGCCGTCCCTCGACGACGCCGATTGCGGCGGTGCCCTTTTCTGCCGCAGAGTCAATTGGCTCGACCACTTGACCAGAGGTACGATGTGGGCATTGTCAGAGTCGGCGCAGGCAAAGGACAGTCGGCCCCTTTGCCGCTCCTCGCAGGTGAACGGCAAGTACGCGTGGGTCAAGCCAGCCTTCACGAAGGTCAGGTATCACGACATTGCAGACAATGGATGCTCCAACAAGAAGAAGCGCATCTGGGTGAAGTGCGGGACCCAGATCATTGACCGCGTCTGGGGCGGGTTGAGGCGCCACCTTGGCCCCAACCGCAAGGTGAACTCCCGCGCGCTGGCAAACAAGGTGAGGTCCTTCCAGTGGTGCTACTGGAACAAGGGCGAGGACCTGTGGGCGCAGACGGGCAATATGCTTACCGCTCTGTTCCAGCAGCAGCACGAGTGAGCGAGCCCATCTGCCGCTGCAGAGGCACTGCATACCTCCGTCTCAAATGCCACCTACCCTGGCCCCGCACTGCTTCCCGCACGGCGAAATGTTGGGCCAGCGCAGCGAGAGTGCCCAAGCGATATGTGTGCGGACGTGCATATTGGTTCTGAGGTTCGAGAAAAACTACGTAGTCTGCCCGCGTGGAAAGTCCGCCCGCAAGGGTATGATCAGGAGCAGCCGTCGCCGTCGTCGCGTCGTCGTCGTTGATTCAGCCCCCGCCCCCCTGCGGTTACCCCCGCCCCCGCTGTGTCCTGCCGCCGCTATTGATCAGGCTTGCACGGGGTGTCCGAATACATTCGCACGCGCACAAGCCCCTGGTATATCTCTGCTCATGACCAACCTCCCCGCCCTCGGAATGAAGTCCCTGAGTGCGCACTTGGAGGTCGAGGGGGCGGACGGCGAGAAGATCCAGCAGGTATTCGAAAAGGTCCGCGGCCACGGCTCGGCCGTCCCGATGTACCAGACGGCGTTGCACCCAGAGGAATTCCAGGACGATCCCCCAGCTCTCTACTCTGTAGGGGATCCCCCCCTCATGCCGTCTGAAGGTTGCAAGAAGATGAAGCATGCCTTTGCCGTTGTCTTGAACGACCAGGGGGACATCGACATGGCCGCGGTGCGGGAGGCCATGGCGGTCAACGACTACAATGGTCTGCCAGAGCTATTGCGCCCCAGAACAAACTGGGAAGCCCTTTACACGATGCAGTTGGCACTGGTGCCCGCTGGCGACGGCGACGGGACAGACATCATCAAGTACTTTCTGTTCTCGGGCCCGCAGCAGTTGGTCGACGTCGAGAACCGCCTCCTGCGTGAGAATGAAGTGTTGTACACGCTATCTTGGGGCAAGGGGGCGGACGTCAAGACGCCGTGGAAAGTCTTGGTCTACATGATGGATCGGCTCGGTGGCACGCACTTCCGTTACCGCCTACCCCCGCAGGAGAAGGGCGACAAGGAGAAGAAGAAGAAGTGCCTTCCCCAGGACATGATCGTATCCCAGTACCAGTTCATTAAGGACAACGCCCCGCGCGGCAACTTCGATTGCGATCAGATGATGTGGATCGACTTCCAGTTGAACGACCCGCAGAGCCCCATCCACAGCTGGAAAGTGGAAAGAGGGGAAGATTAAGGAGGTTCTCTCGCACATTAAGGACCAGGGCATTCAGGCGAAACAGATCACGTACCACCCCATCTTCATCTTCGACACAGGGGGCGAGGGCGTCGAGCGCGCGAAGCGCATCGTGCCTACTTTCAAGAGCCACTCCTGCCCCATGGTCGGCGAGCCTGGCGAGGGGAATACGCCGTGCCTGGAGACGCTGGCATTCGCCATGGGCGACTACTACGCAGACAAGCTGGGGGGCCGCGGCTTGGCCTCGTTCAGAGAGGGGCCAGACCTGGATTTCTTCAGGGCCGAAGAGGGCACGAAGCACTGCCCGTGCGTCTTTGATGACGGCGACTTGTTCGAGCAGCGCCCGAAGACGTTGAAGGCTTTCTTGGGCGTCGGCCAGTTCCAGGCGATGACGAGGGAGCGGTGGGGGGCTGCCAAGTTCGTTCGGGGTCAGGCGCGCTTCGCCGCGGAGAACATGTACGACGAGACGGCTGCCCCCACCATGGACGCGTGGCGCGGTCTGTGCATCTTGTCGCCAGCTGAGGCCAAGCAGAAGCGAAACCAGCACTTCTTCGGCATGCTCAAGCGCACGTTCCCCAAGGACATGTCCAAAGCGAACGCCATGGCCCTCTTGAAGCGGTCCTCCGCGGTCGTGAACACCCCCAATGACGTGTTCGAGCGCTTGGCGGGTTTGGACTCGGACGTGACGAGGGCCCCGAAGGTTGGCCACTACATTACCAAGGCAGCGGGGAATATTCTCTACGACTACATCCACAACGGCGCGATGCGGGACGCCGAGGGATACAACTCGCTGAGGGACAAGCAGCTCCGCTTCATGAAGGCGCTGCTGGACAAGGGTTCCGTGCCCCTGCCTCTCTCGGTCAAGGAGGAGCAGCCGCCTGACGGCGCCGAGGGCGGCAGTAGTTCGTCGGCGGCCCGCGAGCCCCTCCCGCCCTTGCCCAAGCGCATCTGCTGGGCGAGGTCGTTCGGGAACATCCCGGAGGTCGAGATCGACCTCTCGAGCTCGCCCGAAGAGGCCCGCGGCACCGCCGCCGCGCCCAGTAGCCAGGACCTCGCCGCTGCGCTCGCCGATGCAGACAACGGCGATCCGCTCGGCCTGGGCGGCGGAATGAATGCCGATGCGTCGGAATGAGCGGGCGGCCGCTTCGGCGGGGGGCAGCCAGCGGCCAACGCTGCCCCTCGATATTATAAATGCTGATCGATTGTACACTGGCTGCCCCGACTATGCCAAAGACGAGGGAGTCACAGCAGCAACCACAAACGCTACCTTCCAGAAAACGTTGTCGCCACGTCGTCGTCACCCTCATATTCTTTGTGAACTTGTTCTTCCTTTCCCCACCGTTTGCTGCCCACGTCTCCCGATCGGCTGAGCAAGGTCTGCTGCCCAAAGCTAGACACAGAGGGTCCATAAGGCGTTGGTAAGGACACCTTGTGAAAACACAAGTCCCGCCCATGCTGCGGCCGCTGTCGTGAGGAAGCCTTGTAACACACACACACACACACACACGCACACACACGCACACACACACACACACACGCACACACACACACATACACACATACACGCACACGCACGCACGCACACACACACACACGCGCCTGATAGTTTTAATCGTTTTCGTAAGGGAACTCTTATGAAAACGCAGGTATTATTGATATGTTTGAAGTTTTTGACAAGAAAACCATATACAAACACAGATATTCTTGATATGTTTGATGGTTTTCATAAGGAAACCATGTGAAAACACAGATATTCCTGATATTTTTAATGGTTTTCGTTAGGAAACCCTGTGAAAACACAGATATTCCTGATATTTTGTGGTTTTCTGGGGACGGGCGCCCCTCTTCCTCTTGCGCCACCAGCCTTTGCAGCGCGCCCGTATCAAGAAAACCACAAAATATCAGTTTTTTTTTTTTTCTTTCCACAAGGTTTCCTAACGAAAACCACCAAACATATCAGGAATATCTGTGTTTTCATATGGTTTCCTTACAGAAACCAAAAAATATCAACAATATCTGTGTTTTCACAAGGTTTCTGTGCGACAACCTTTCAAAATATTAGGAATAGTTGTGTTTTCACAAGTGTTCCTGCCTGGCGCATTGTCCCTGAGGGGCGTGGACCTGGGGAGGGAGCAGGGGGAAGGGCGCCCTTTTCCAGAAAACCAACAAATATCAGGAATATCTGTGTTTTCACAAGGTTTCCTAACGAAAACCATCAAACATATCAGGAATATCTGTGTTTTCATATGGTTTCCTTGCCAAAGCATTCAAACATATCAGGAATATCTGTGTTAGAGCAGCCACTTTTGTAAGGCTTCTCATAAGGAGGAGGAGGAGGAGCAGCAGGAGGAGGATGAGAGGAGGAGGAGAAAGAAAAGAGAGGAAACAGAGGAAGAAGCAGAGAAGCAGGAGGAGGGAAAGGAGGAAGAGGAGGAGGAGGAGGAGGAGCAGCAGCAGGAGCAAACGATCAATGATGGATTTGTGGTCGTGGGTGGTTTGGGGTGCGCTGGGGGGGGGGGCGACCATATATATATATATATATATATATATATATATATATATATGTATGTATGTATGCATGTATGTATGTATGTATGTATGTATATATATATGTATATATATATGTAGGTATGTATCGGAGGTTAGGGGGTGAGATCGAAATGGGACGGAGAGCCCCCCTACCGGGAAATCGATTTTGGTTTCGTGTTCGTGCGTGCCGTGCGGGCGAGGCGAAGCTGCGTGGGCGGGCGAGAGAAAACTCCTGTGGCTGAGGCGCGGCCGGACCAAATGACTCCCTTCCGGGCGGCCGGGGCCCCGCGGTGTCCCGCCGGTGTCCCGCTGGTGTCCCGTGCCGCTGAGGCGCGGCCGGACCAAATGATTCCCTTCCGGGCGGCCGGGGCCCCGCGGTGTCCCGCCGGTGTCCCGCGGTGTCCCGCGGTGTCCCGCCGGTGTCCCGCGGTGTCCCGCCGGTGTCCCGTGGTGTCCCGCGAGGATGATGATGATGAGATGATGATGATGATGATGATGATGATGATGATGATGATGATGATGATGATATGATGATGATGGTGTCCCGATGAAGATGATGATGTTGATGACGGTGTCGATGATGATGATGATAGCGTCCCGATGCTGAGGATGATGATGCTCATGATGATTATGTTGGTGATGATGACGATGATGGTGTCCCGGTGATGATGATGATGATTCCGATGATGTTGGTGATGATGATGTTGATGGAAATGGTGTCCCAGCGATAATGATGTTGATGATGATGATGTTTATGATGATTATGGTGTCCCGATGATGATGTTGATGATGATGATGGTGATGATGATGATGGTGATGCTGATGCTGTCCCGATGATGACAAAACTGATAATGACGATGTTGATGATGATGTTGCTCATGATGCTGATGGTGCCCCAATGATGATGATGTTGTTGTTGGTGATGATGATGTCGATGATGATGATGCGATGATCACGATGATGATGGTGTCCCGAGGATGATGACGATGCTGATGATAATGTTGACGATGAGAACGATGGTGATCATGATGGTGTCCCGATTATGATGATGACTCTGATGATGCTGCTGATGATGATGACGATGACTGTGTCCCGATGATGATGATGATGTTGATGATTATATGATGATGGTGATGATGATGATGTTGTCCCGATGATGATGCTGACGTTGATGATGATGTTTATGATGGTGATGATGATGACGGTGCCCTCATGATGATGACGATGTTGGTGATGATGATGATGTTGATGATGTTGATGATGATGATGACGTTGATTGTGAGAGCGATTGTGATATCGACAGTGAGATCGATATTGGGACCGAATGTGAGATCGATTGTGTGATCGATTGTGAGATCGATTGTGAGATCAATTGTGAGATCGATCGATTGAAATAGATCGAGTGAGATCGATTGTGAGATCGATCGAGTGAGATCGATCGAGCGAGACCGATAGTGAGATCGATACTGAGATCGATAGTGAGACCGATCGAGTGAGACGTTGGTTCCCCCCCCCCGAACCTCCTTATCACCCGAAGGGTGGTCGTATAGGTATAAGTATGTATGGGCTGATATACGTATATACATATGTATGCAATTATGTACGTATGCATGTTGCAACACGTATGTGTGTTTGTGAATAATTATGTATGTATGTTTGGAAGGATGTATGTCTGTATACTTGGGTATGTATATGCATGTGTACAGGTGTGTGTGTGTATGCATGCACGTATGTGTATACATGTTTCGTTTGATTTATGCATGCGTGTGTGCACGAATGTATGTACGTATGTGTGTATGTTTGTTTGTTTGTATGTGTGTACGTGTGCACGTATGTACACATGCAATCATGCATGCATGAAAGCATGTATGTATGTATGTCTGTATGTATGTGGGTATGAATGTATGGTATAGATGTATGTACGTACGTATGTATGTACGTACGCATGTATGCATGTTCGTATGCGTACATGCATACTAGAACCATGGCGCGCGTTTCGCGCGCGCTCAAGTTCTAGCTAGGTTTGATGGGCGAACCCATGAATATCATCCTTGTCGCTTCTTGCATCCAAGGGCTCTCTTGGAGGCCCTGCGCAAGCCTCGGAATCGCATAGACGGGGAACTGCGGAAACGCAAACATTATTGATTGCTGTTCGGATTTCAACGGTTTGGGGCTCTCGAAGGCTTCTTGGGTTCTTTTCTGGGGCCTTAATTGTGGTCTGTTGTGCAAGAGTAAACAAAGGGGGCGAACTTGGAAAGCAAAGAACGTCATGGTGAGATTTCTTTTTTCAGATTGTAATGCCTGGGCTGTGGGTTTGACGTTTTCTGCCTGCATGCCACGGTCTGTTGGGATGCCTCTCGGGGTCTTCGTGAAAAAAATAAACAGGAGGTGAATTTGAAAACAAAGAATTCTAATATTGCACTGCTTCAACTCATGGGAGCATGGGACCTCGATTTCTACAATGGCTTCAGGGGCAGCCAAGAGGACACGAAGACGGTCCAAGAGAGTGCCAAGGCAGCGCCAGAGAGTCCAACAGCATTCCCGAAACATTTTTGCATGTGCCCCCGAAGTCTTGATGGGGCTCGAGGAAGAGGATGGGGAGTATGAGTCCCGACTTGACAAACAAAGAATATATTTTTATATATATATATATATGTGTGTATATGTATATGTTTCGTTTTGTTTTCTGTAACATATCCTCGGTCCTGGAGCGTTGGACGAGGGAAGACGTGAGAAGGCGAAAAGCGTCGACAAAACCACAAAAAAACGATTTCACGCTCGTCGGGCTCTGTCGGGACGGCTCTCGAAACTCTCTTGGGCTGTTTTGGGGGCCTCGTCGGGGATTTTCTGGGGGCCTCTCAGGGGTCTGGGGTGTATTGGAGGCCTCTGGGGGGTCCCGGAATCCTCTCGGAGGTCTCTGGCGGCCTCCTGCTCCCGCTCTTGGGCTCATCTTGAGCCTGTTCTGGGGTGGTCTGGAGCTGTCCTGGGCGCTTCTTCGGCAGTCTTGGGGCCGTTTTGGCCCGTTTTGAGGGCCTCTTGGGGGCCTCGTGGGCGGTTTTGGGGGCCTCTTCGGCTGTCTTGGAGCATTGGAAACATGGAAAGGTGAGAAGGCCAAAAACCCGGAAACAAAAACAATGAACATTAACGATTTTAGGTTCTTCGGGCGCTCTCGGGAAGCCTCTCGGAGCTCTCTTGAGGTCTCTTGCAGGCCTCCAGGGAGCCTGGAGAGCCGCCCGAAAGCTATCCTGGGGTGCTTGGGAGCGTCTTGGGCAATTCTTTTACGTCGTGGGGGCTTCTTGGGGCCGTCTTGGGCTGTCTTTGGGCATTGTGGGGGCTCCCCGGGAGGCCGGGATGCGCGGTGTCGGGAGCGTACACGAGATGTGAACGAGGTGGAGGACGCCCCCGGAGGGGGCCCGCCGTATTTATATTATATTATATTATATGATATGAAGTTGTGTATATGCATGTGTATATGTACATGTATGTTTGTGTGCATGTATGTATGTATGTATGTCTGTCTGCATGCATGCATGTACGGAGGCATTTATGTACCACCACCCCAAAAAAGCTGGATGAACGTGGGCATGCTGACTTGGGGTATTCCTGGAGTCGCCGCGAGGTCGCATGAAGGCCATCGGGTCAGATTCATGCCTTGTTGAGCTATGAAATCTCATTGGGGCCATCTTGGGATCGCCTTGGGTTCATGGTGGGAGCTTGGGGGGCACATGGGGGTACTGTGCCGACGCCCCTGGGCACGGGCCCTCACGGCCCTAGTTAACAAGAGTTGTGCCCCGCACGGCCCACGCAAATAATAGTTTGAACCGCAATAACTACGCCGATGACGGCGGCGATGGTCAAGGCGGTGGGGATTGCGATGCCGACGAGCAAGGCAAACCCCCTGACCTGTCACCTGCGCGTGATCCGCGTGATTTGGCCCGTGATCCGCTGTGAATAACGGGTGGTCCCGTGATATGTAAATATTTAACAATTCCAAATCTAATTAATTCGCTTTAATCGCGAATCACGCGGATCACCTTTGTTTGCGACGGATCACGGGCCGGATCATGGGATCACGCATTGCTTGCGTAGGATTTTCTCATTGTTTACGTGTGTTTTACGTGGGCGAAACAGGCTACGGAAGACATGGCTGGCAGCGAGCGACGCGCGCTGATGCGCGCATGGATGCGCGGCGAGATCTGGGTCCAAGTCGCAGGAGCACGCGACTGGGGGGCAATGGCTCCGTGGGTGGGAAGCGTACAACCCCCGAAAGAAAACTGGATGAATGTGGACATGCGGACTTGGGGTGCTCCTGGGGTCGCCGCGAGGTCGCATGAAGGCCATCGGGTCAGATTTGTGCCCTGTGGAGTTCTGCATTGAGGCCAACTCGGGATCGCCTTGAGGTCGTGGTGGGAGCTTGGGGGGCACATGGCGCTACTTCAGGTCATGGCGTCATGTCCGGATCATCTTGAAGTCACTAAGCCGCTTTGAAAGCGACGCGAGCCCCCTGCCCCCCCGTCCAATGTTGGCGGGGGTGGCCGCCAAGCCCAAAACTCTGGTCAACTTTGGATCGGGACGGGGTGCGGGGGTTCAGAGCTGAGCCACTCATCACGTTTCTACCGTGCTCTCGCCTCTTTTCATCCCTGATCCCATCAAGTTTTTTCCGGAGGGGGGGGGGGGATGTATGCATGTATGTACGTATGTATGTATGTATGCATGTATGTATGTATACGTATTGGCGTATGAATGCATACGTGTGTGAATGTATGCATGTGTGTCTGTATGCATGTATGTATGCATGCATGTACGTTATGTATGTATGGATATACATGCATGTATATATTAATGTACGTACTCATGTAAGTATAAGAATTTGCATGCATGTGTATGAACATATGTGTGTGTATAAATGTACATACATATATATAGGTGCATGTAGGGATGTCCGCATTCATGCATGCATGTATGCATGTATACATGAATGTATGCATGTATGTAGATGTATATGTGTATGTATGTATGTATGCATGCATGCATGTATGTGTATGTATGTGTATGTATGTATGTATGTATGTATGTATGTTCCCTACCTAGGCTCTGCCTAGAAAGGTTCTTACTCTGACGCTTAAAGGGCCGGGCAGTGGGGCACGCCCCGGGCGGTTCCCCCGGCATCCGCCCCGCGGTTCCCCCAGTGACGTTCCCTTAGCTTCGCGTTGCTAATCTCATCTTAGCTTAGCTTATTTCATCTTACCTTAGCTTAGCTTCATCTTACCTCAGTTCCCTAACTAGGCTCTGCCTAGAAGGGTTCTTACTCTATGTGCTTAAAGGGCCGGGCAGTGGGGCACGCCCCGGGCGGTTCCCCCGGCATCCGCCCCGCGGTTCCCCCAGTTGCGCCCCCTGGGTTCACCCAGCTTAGCTTAGCTAAGCTTAGCTAAGCTTAGCTAAGCTAAGCTTAGCTTATCTCATCTTAGTTTCGCTTAGCTTAGCTTTGCCTAGCCTAGCTTAGCTTAGTTTAGCTTAGATTGGCTTAGCTTAGCTTGCCTTAGCTTAGCGCAGCATAGCGCAGCATTAGCGCACCATTAGCGCAGCATAGCATAGCATATCATCGCATAGCTAAGCATAGCATAGCATAGCATAGCTCAGCAAAACATAGCATAGCATAGTATAGCGCAGCATAGCATCGCATAGCACAGCATTGTTTAGCATAGCACCGCGCAGCATAGCATAACATAGAATAGCACAGCACAGCATAGCGCAGCATAGCATATCATATCATAGCATCGCATAGCGCAGCATAGCATAGCATAGCATAGCGCAACATATCATAACATAGCATAGCATAGCGCAGCAAATCATAGCATATCATATCATAGACTAGCATAACACAGCGCAGTCGAGCGTACCCTAGCATATAATACCATAGCTGTCGGTGTAAATGTAGATGTTGCTTTCCTAAATGCTCCAACTCCTAGGTAGGGTCGCACTGGGATAATATGTATGTATGTACGTATGTCTGTCTGTCTCTCTGTCTGTCCGTCCGTCCGTCCGTCTGTCTGTCTGTCTGTCTGTCTGTCTGTCTGTATGTATGTATGTATGTATGCATGTACTCTGTCCCTCAATCGTTCTGGGGGTACCTGTAATCCGAGGAGGGTACCTGTAGTCCGGGGGAGAGGTACCTGTAGTCCGGGGAGGGGTACCAAAAGTCCGGGGTGGGGTGCCTGTAGTCTGGGGGAAGGGTACCTGTATAGTCCGGGGAAGGTACCTGCAGTCTAGGGGGGAACGCGTGTTCACGCGTCAATGCACGCGTGGATCTAGTCCTGTGGGGGCACCTGCAGTCCAGGCGGGGGGAGGGGTGCCTGTAGTCTTCGGGGGGGGGGCACCTTGCAGTTCGGGGGGGGGGTACCTGTAGTCAGGGGCAGGGGTACCTGTAGTCCGGGGACCCAAAACTATTGAGGGACACAGAGTGTGTAGTTAGGTAGGTCGGTTGATTGGTGGGTAGGTAGGTAGGTAGGTAGGTAGGTAGGTAGGTAGGTAGGTAGGTATCTGTACCTGTATAGTTTGGGGCTGTCAAGAGCAGTCCAGGGGCGAAGCGCTGCCCCGGGGAAGGAGTTTGGACCTCTGGGGCCTCGGCTTGAAGCATCCGGTCGGCACGGCTGCAGCCTTCTCGGGCCAGACGCTCCTGACTCACAGCCGGGTCTCCGTTTGGGCGGCCCTGGCGTGTGTAATTACGACGCTCACAGGGGGGGAGCGAGGCTGCTGGCGACCAGATCGGCGAAGGTCAGGGGAGGAGGGCTCGTCGAGACAGCGGCGGCGCTCACTGGGGCGCTCTTCGTCCCTCAGCCGGGGCCTCCCGGATGGCGTCCTCGTCGTCGCCACAGCCAGATCCGCCTCGAAAAGCGGGTCGGAGGGCAGAGGAGGAGGAGTCCACGTACTCAGGGGGTGAGTCGTGCAGCATCGCTACGGCGGATTAAAGTGAGAAGAGACGCTAAGGCGGCCGCCTGCCTGAAACTGGACGGTCGCAGGGCCTCGATATGGACGATTCGGTGTCGGAGAGGAGCGCGGGGGCCGAAATACCTGGGGCATCGGGTCCGTGCGCTCCTGGTGAGCCTGGCACGCCAACAATGCTGAGTGTCTGGCTTGAAGGGTAATGCTATACTGACCGAACAAATGAGGCTGAGCAGCAAGCTCGACTTTCAACTTGTGAAGGATATGGAAACTTATAGCTGTGAGTTCATGAGCACGCTCACGAGTGATCTCAGCTGAGTCATAGTCAGGGGCAGAGGAGGAGGAGGAGGAGGAGGAGGAGGAGGAGGAGGAGGAGGAGGAAGAGGAGGAGGAGGAGGAAGCTCGGGGACAGATCTCGAGCGGGCTTGGGCTGGGCAGGAACGCCGCCGTTGTCTCAAGTCGGCGGCGAGCGAGGGAGGGAGGTGAGAAGGGGCGGGCCTTCTCAGAAGGCTCGGAGGTCTCCTCCAGGCCTTGTGGGCAGCTTTCTAAGCCTTCCCCGAAGAAGCAGGAAACTTTTCAGAAGGCGCGATGGCTTCTGAGAAGTCCCACCGCCTTCTGAGAAGGCCTTCTCCTTCTCACTTCCCCCCCTCGCTCGCCGCCGATCAACTGGCTCTCCTCAGATTCCGAGAATTGGCAAAACCTCCCTCAACAAAACGACCTTTAACGAGAGGCGGGTGCACGCGGCGCGGGTGCAGGCGGCACCGCGCTGTGCGCACCCGGGTGGAAAAGCTAGTCGACGTACCAAAACAACCAAATGTGTCTGGCAAAGCACACATTGACTTACGAAACCGACCACGGACTACACTGGTACACTGCGCGTGTCACCGTCGAGTGGGCCGGTGCAGAATTCCTGTCGACCTGTCTGGGCGGGCGTTATCTCAATGTCAGGTCCTTGATCTTCCGGTAGAGCTGGTTGCCCCAGCAGAATCCCATGCAGTAGAGCAGGATTGTGGGGACCGCGATGATGACAAGAGACGTCAGGATACTGTTCAGGTTGGGGACCACGGTCTTCTCGATGTAGTTGTAGCAATCATGGTTGTTGAAGCTCTGTCCCTTCTGCTTGCAAATCGCCTCGAATTGCTCGCGAATCTGGGGCTCGCAGCTGCTGGACTGTATGCTTTTGCAGGACTCTGCCAGGTATTCTAAACTTTTGGCAGCGAGATAGGTACCAACCAGCGCTATGATTTGAAAGACCGCGGACAATAAGTTGCAGCCACAGAAGCAGCACGTCAGTGTCTCGTCGCTCCTCTTGGCGCCGAAGTACCCGCACGCTGGCACCAGCAGGGCGAAGAAGATGCCGAACAGGGTGGCGTAGGCGGGTTCTCCGCCGCTAGATCGGATGGCGTTAAACACCGCCAGCACCCCGGAGACGATGGACACCAACAACACCCGTCGCGTCAGGCGCGCCATGTGGGGGTCGTGGATCTGGAGCCCGAAGACCGGCTGCGGCACCGAGGGCGCGTACTGCATCGGTGCGCCTCCCGCCATGCTCCCGCCTCTCCGGTCCTCCTCCCTCTCTCTCGCTCCTCCTCCTCCTCCTCCTCCTCCTCCTTTGTCCTGCCTCCTCCTCCTCCTCCTCCTCCTCCTCCGTCCTGCTTCCTCCATCCTTTTGCGTCCAGACTGTCTCCATGCCAGGTGTCTGGCAGCCACGACAGCTCGGACCATAGCATGGTGGCTCCGTCGGTTGAGTTCGAATCGGGTAGCTGGATCTGGACGTGCTAGATGGCTCGGGAAGCTGCCCTTCAGGGGCAGTGGACGGACTCAGCTGCGCCGCGGGCGCGCATTCTTGGGCACGCTACCCTGCCGACAATGCCATTGGTCGGCTCAAGGCGGAACTGGCGACGGCGCTGGCTGAGCGGTAAGCGTTCCTCGACGGCGTTGCCTGCACCTTCGGCGATGCTGAGCCTGCGGATCGGATGGCGGTATCGGCGCCTGCCTCTTGGTCTTGCTGAAGGGGCGACTGCCATGTGGCACTGATGTGCTGCGCCGCAGCGTGACACTGCACGCGGATGCCAGTGGCGTCGGCGTCGCCGCGGCGCCTCCCGCCGCGCTGCGCCACTTGCAGAAGGACAGGCTGCCGGACGCACGGGCGGGCGCGCTCGCTTAGCTGCAGAGGCGGGCGCTGCGGGGCGCAGGCGGCTCGCAGCGAGGCCACAGGCTGCAGACGCCTGCCCGCGGAGGAGCCCGCTCTTCTGGCCCCAAGTAGAGGGGTCGCCCGATGCAGCTGCCGCCGCTGTGCTGCGGCCGCGGCACTGCGGCACGCGCTGCGCGATGGCCTCCTCGTTGGGCTCGACAGCGGCCCGCTGCGGCCGGCGCCGGGGCGGATGCGGACGCTGGGCGAGGGCTTGGGCAGGCCGCGGCACGGCGGCCAGCCCCCATGCTTCCGAGGGCCAGGCGGCTGGGCACACGGCGGGCCGGCGCGCTGCTCGGGCGACGGGGCTGGGGCAGGGGCGGCGCGCGTCCTCGAGGTGGCCGCACAGGTGCTCGCACGGGCGCGCCTCGGGGTCGGGGCGGCGCTTCGTGCGAAGGCCTGGGCCTGCCTCGAGGCGCCCCGCGGTGCACCGCCGCCTCGGCGCCCCTCCCGCTCCGCGCCGCCAGCGGCGCACCGCTGCCGCGGCGCCGGGGCCTCTGCTGCGGCCGCCGCAGCGCCAACGAGCGCGGCGCGGAGGACGGCGGCCCTGGCAGCTCGCCCTCGCCGCGGCGCTGCCACGACGAGGCGCTGTCGCCGCCCTGCGTCGGCCTCGGCCTGATGGTCGCGGCGCTGCCGCAGCCCTGCACGCCGAGCGGCTCCTCGGCGGCCCAGGGGCTGCGCGCCTGGTTGCCCGCGGGCGGCGCGAGGCGCGGCTGAGTCTGACGTGCCGGGCCTCCTGCCGTGCGCGCGCGCTCTGGGCGAGCGCGCCATGAGCACGCTCGGCTGCGCGCGGCCCTGGGGCGCGCGCGGGGGGCCCTGCCGCGGGCGCGCGTGGGGCTCTGCCGCGCAGCCGCGCGCCCCGCCTCGTCCCGACTCCGCCGGCACCTGCTCGCAGGGGATAAGAATCAAGAGGAGGAGGAGGAGGAGGAGGAGGAGAATCAAGAGGAGGAGGAGGAGGAGGAGGAGGAGGAGGAGGAGGAGGAGGAGGAGGAGGAAGCTCGGGGACAGATCTCGAGCGGGCTTGGGCCGGGCAGGAACGCCGCCGTTGTCTCAACTCGGCGGCGAGCGAGGGCGGGGAAGTGAGAAGGGGCGGGCTTTCGCAGAAGGCTCGGACGTCCCCCGGCCTTCTGAACAGCCTCCTGAGCCTTCCCCGAAGACCCCGAAAGCTTCTCAGAGGGCGCGATGGCTTCTGAGAGGTACCGCCGCCCTCTGAGAAAGCCCTCTCCGCCTCACCTTCCCCCCCTCACCCGCCTTCTGAGAACGCCCTCTCCTCCTCACCTTCCCCCCCCTCGCTCGCCGCCGAAATCAGGCACGCGCTAACATGGAGTACAGATCCGTGGGCTTGGCACGTGGGCCTGGGGGGCCAGGCCCCCCCAACGAGGCGACGAAGCCAGCGCCGCCCGATCTGACGACGGCGCGCGCCGACTTTGCATGGAAGCGGGGCCCGTCGCCAATCCACGCGCCTCGATCTCTGTCTGCGCCTTCCTGGGGAAAAGGCGCGTGAGATGGGTGGCTGCCCCGCTCCCCCTCCCAGACATGATCGCGTCGCAAAAACCAGCAACAAGACGCAGGTTTGGGGCCGTTTTCGGCCTCGGGGGGCCCTCGCCGGGCCTCGGGGCCGTCAAAAACCGACTCAGGATGAAACGCCGGTCCTGGGGAAAGGGTCGGGACTTCCAGGGACGCTGCACTGCAGCAGTCCAGGCAACCTCGTGGCTGGGCTTGCCCCCCCTTGCCTGGGGATGCAGCATCCCGCCCCAGTGACGTGTGGGTGCGAGAGGGCCAGGCCCCTGGGAGGAGGAGGAGGAGGAGGAGGAGGAGGAGGAGGAGGAGGAGGAGGAGGAGGAGGATGAGGAGGAGGAGGAGGAAGAAGGAGGTGGTCACGTGGCCACAAGCGGCCCGGGATGGCCCCCTGGGCCCATCACGGTGCCAAAAAAGACCCCACGGCGGCCGCAGGGGGCCCCGCCTCAGAGAGCCCCCCCCCCCCTCCGAGGGCCCCCAAGGGGCCCCAGGGCGCTCCCAAACAGCCCCCTCCGAGTCTGCAGGAAGCTGCACGGAGGCGCACCCGAGTCCTCCGAGAGGCTCCCCCCAAAAGCCCTGCAGCATGCCCCACGAGACGTCCAACAATCTTCGCCCTCCGCCTCCTCTGCCTCGTCCTCCTCTTCCTCCTTCTCGACGTCCTTTTCGACGTCCTCCTCCTCCTACCTCATCCTCCTCCTCCTTCTCCTCCTCCTCCTCCTCCGCCTCTGCATCTGCACCTCACTTTTTACCCTCTTAGTCATCGTCACCTTCATTGGCATGTTCCCGCCTTCTCTCCGTCCCCGGCCTCCCAAGAGCGCCCCAAGACGCTCGAAAAGACGAGTTTCTGGATCTCCGACGGGGCGGAGCTCGTAGGGGACCCACGATTCTTTGATCCACGCCCTCCTTGATAGGCCCCGGAAAACGTCCCGAGACCTCCAGTGTATTCTAAGACGGTCCCACGACGGCTCAGAGGGCTCTCCAGACCCAGCCATGCGACGTCTTGATTTTTTCAAGGACCGACCCTTTCCCGGGGACCGGTCTTTCATCCTGAATTACTTTTTGACGGTCCCGAGACCCGGCGAGGGCCCTCCGAGGTCGAAAACGGCCAAACACCTCCCTTCCTGATTTTTTAACGACGCGATCCTGTCTGGGGATATCGCCGACAGGGCTCCAGGATGGCCTCAGGAAACTGCTGACTCCTGCCGTATCCTCACGAGCCCACAGTCCTCGGACCCGTCGCCGAACGCAAAAACTGAGGCTCCGACGTGCAGCCAGCGAACACGAGCACAGCTGCTAGACCCCCTCGCGTTGTGAAACAAATCACGACAGGAGGTTTTTCGCTATGTTCGGCCTCCGGGGGCCCTTCCCCGGCCTGGGGACCGTCAAAACACAACTCAGGATGACGAACCAGCCCCGGGGAAGGGGTCCAGACCTCTGGGGTCGACGTTGTGAAAAAAAACACGACGTCGGGGGTCTGGGGCGTAAGCCTCCAGAACCTTGAGCAGACCCTTCTCCGTCCCCCCTCGTGTGTCCTCCGCCCTCCATCTGCATGCCCTGGCTTCCGATCTTCCTCGTCCGTCAGCCTCCTTCCGTCCTCCTTCCTGCGTCCCTCGCCCCTTCCTTTTCCTCCGTCCTCCGCCCCCCCTCCTCCGCCCTCCGCCCTCCGCCCTCCGCCCTCCGCCCTCCGCCCTCCTCCGCCTCCTCCGCCTCCTCCCTCCTGCATCCTCCTCCTCCTCTTCTTTCTCCTCCTCCTCCCATGCCTCCTCCTCCTGCTCCTCCTCCCTCCTGCATCCTCCTCCTGCTTCTTTCCTCCTTGCACCTCCAACCCGCCTTTTCTGTCGGTTGCCCCCCCCCCCCCCCCCCCCCCCTTCGTCTCCCCCTCTCCCGTCCTCCCTCTTGCCTCGTCCGTCCCGCGAGGAGGAGGAGGAGGAGGAGGAGGAGGAGGAGGAGGAGGAGGAGGAGGAAGAGGAGGAGGAGGAGGAGGATGGGGAGGAGGAAGAGGAGGAGGAGGAGGAGGAGGAGGAGGAGGAGGAGGACCAGTGTAAACCCAAGAGCCATCAACGATGTTGGAATACATCCTCCCTCCAAGCTCCCTCTTCGTAGGGCCCCACAACGGTTCATTTCCATTGAGAGATCTGCCCCGTTGGAAGACAACCGTTTGAAGACCCGGAAACATGCCAAAACATTGTTCTCGGGATTCCGACGCCACGGGTCAACCTGACTGTTGCGTCTTGACGATCCTGGGTCGTGCCAGAACGCCCTTCTTGGGATTCGAACACCGCGAACAAACGTAACTGTTGCACCCGCAAAATCCTGAACCCTTCCAACACACCATTTCTGGTACGTTGATCATAGGAGCCCGTGAAACTCTTGCAACTTTTATGAGCGAATGTGCGCGGCGCTAGGGCGAGAACCACATTTGAAAAGGAACCGCCCTCAATCCGTGAAGCTCTTTTGCACATTTTTAAAACGAATGTGCGCTGCGCTAAGGCAAGAACCACATCTTGAACACGGGTTATCCTCAATCCGTGAAGCTCCTGCATAGTGTTGGAAAGAATGCGCGCGGCGCTAAGGCGAGAGCCACATGTTGAACATGTATTAATTTCAGTCCGTGAAGATCTTGCACATTTTTAGAACGAATGTGCGCGGCGCTAAAGGCGAGAGCCACATTTTGAAAACTGGTTATCCTCAATCCGTGAAGCCCTTGCAGTTTGATATGAGGAAGGTGCGTGGCGCTAAGGCGAGAGCCACATTTTGAAAACCACCCGCCCTCCATCTGTGAGGCTGTTGCCATTTAAAGCCTCCGAATCATAAATGGTATTATTATTATTATTATTCCTATTCGTCTTCTTCTTCTGTTTCGTCTTCTTCTTATTATTATAAGGAAAAGAATGGAGAAGGAGGAAGAGGAGGCCGGAGGAGGAGGAGGACGAGGAGGACCAGAGAAAACCCAAGATACGTCAACGATGCTGCAACACAACCTCCCGTCGGAGTCCCCTCTATCAAACCCCTGCAGGCCTCCAGTTTCGGCGCACGAAAGGACACCTTGAACGACGAGCACTCGATGGGCCTGCAATTCAGGCAAGAGCACCGCTCTGAAAAGGAACTGCGCTGCATCCCTGTACTGAATGCAGAAAGATAGGATCACACACTTCAACAGTGTGTCCAACGACATACCTGTTTGATCAGGAGCCGCCCCCATCCATGTAACTACTGCGCAAGCTTGCGCTTCTGGTCACAACAATTGAAGAATTCCGGAGAGAGAGAGAGTCCCATTTTTGAAAAAGGAGCAACCAGCCATGCACTTGCTCATAAACAAATAACCAACGTTCTGCCCATCGCCTTCGAGAAAGTCGCAAGCGAGAGCCACATTTGGAACACGAGCCATCCTCCATCCTGGCAGCTGCTGCAACCCTTGAAGACAGGTGGGCGCGGCGCTACCCATTTCGAAAAGAAGCCACCCTCCATGAGTGTAGTTGCTGCAAGCTTCTCAAACGAGTGTGCGCGGGTCCAGGGCGAGAGCCCCACTTCGAATCGCCTCTCATCTTTGTAGCTGTTGCGAGCTTTTGCGGCGAATGTGAGCTGGGGCGAGGACCCACTTTGACACTCCTCTCCATCTTTCCAGCTGCTGTCAGATTTTACAGCGAATGCGCGCGGAGCTAAATCAAACGAGAACACCGTTTTGAAACCCACCCCCTGCCATCCGTGTACATGCTGCAAATGCCCAGCTTCAGGGGCATACGTGGTGAGTACGGAGAAATGGTGCACAGGGCCACTTCTCCTCCTCCTCCTCTTCTTTTTCTGTTTCCTCCTCCTCCTCCTCTTCCTCCTCCTCCTGTACCTCCTCCTCCTCTTCCTCCCCATCCTGCTCCATTCCTGTCCTTATGAATAATTTCTCGCTGTCGCACCCCGAAACTAGTTTTTAGGGCGGGCCGGGCGTTTCGCCTGAGACTTCCTCACCATTGATGATTCTGCAGCTTAAAAATTGGCAACAGTTTCGCAGATGGAGAGCGAGTCGTTTTCAATATGTGGCTGTCGCCTGAGCGCGGCGCACATTCGATTAAACACTTGCAAGAGTTTCACGGACTGAAAGCCACCCGTCTTCAAAATGTGGCTCTCGCCTTAGCGCCGCGCACATTCGTTTTGACAAATTACAAGGGTTTCACGGATTGAGGGCCACCCGTTTTCAATCTGTGGCTCTTTCCTCAGCGCCGCGCACATTCGTGATGGAAATTAAAAAAGCTTCGCGGACCGAGGGCGGGTCGTTTTCAAGATGTGGCTCTTGCCTTCGCGCCGCGCACATTCGTTCTAACAACTTGCAAGAGCTTCGCGGATTGAGGGGGGTTCCTTTTCAAAATGTGGCTCTCGCCTTAGCGCCGCGCTCATTCGTTCTAAACTTTTGCAAGAATGTTCAAGGACTCCTATGATCAACGTACCAGACATGGTGTTGTGGAAGGATTCAAGATTTTGAGGGTGCAACATCTATTTTGGTTCGCGGTGTTGAAGTCCCAGGAATGGCGTTCTGGCACGATTCGGGATCGTCAAGACGCAACAAACATGTTGACCCATGGCGTTGGAATCCCGAGAACAATGTTTTGTCATACTTCGGGGTCTTCAAACGGTTGTCTTCCAACGAGGCAGTTTCCTCAGTGGGAATGAACCCTTGTATGGGCCTGTGAAGAGGGAGCTTGGGGGGAGGGTTTATGTCAACATCGTTGATGGCTCTTGGGTTTGCACTGGTTCTCCTCCTCCTCCTCCTCCTCCTCTACTTCTCCCTCCTCCCTCCTCCTCTACTTATCCCTCCTACTCCTCCTCCTGCTCCTCCTCCTGCTCCTCCTCTTCCTCCTCCTCCTCCTCCTTCCCCTACTCCTCATCCCCATCGCAGCCAAAGAACGTGCGCAGGCGTCGGAGTCAGGGTCTCGCTGCGGCGGGCGCAGCGGGCGCTCGGATTGCCGGGGAGCGGGCGGGCGGGGGCGGCAGTGCCCAGCTTGAGCCACAAGAGCTGGTCGTGGAGGAGAGCGCCTTCCAACCAGATTCCCCCTCCTCCTCCTCCGCCCACCTCCCTCCTCCCTATCCTCATCCTGCTGCTGCTACGCACCTTTCCTCCTCTTCCCTCCACCTCCATCCTCCTCCTCCTCGTCCTCGTCCTCGTCCTACCTCCTCCTCCTCGTCTTTCTCATCCTTCCTCTTCCTCCTCCTCCTCCTCCTCCTCCTCCTCCTCCTCGTCCTCGTCCTCCCTCCTCCCTCTTCTCCTTCGTGTCCTTCCTCCTTCGCCTCCTCGTCGTCGTCCTCCTCCTCCCTCGCCCCTCCTTGTGGGAAGGCGCGAGCTTACAATCGAGGCCGCTCTCGCGAGGCCTGGGATCGGGCACCTCGGGGCCCCTGGCCGGCACCGGGGGGGGGGGGGGGCAGCGAGCCCATCGCCCCTGCCGGGTGTTGCCAAAGTGGGCGGCGAGCGCGAGGGGCTTCGGGGCCCTCTTCTCGGGAGCGAGGGAAAGGCGTACAAATACGAGACAATTTGTTTTGGAATCGGCGATAACCCGGGTTATCCCGGGGAGGGGGAGGAGGGGTCCTGCCGATAACCTAACCTTCGCGCTGTGGGCAACTCTGCATAGGCCCGCGCCCCCCCATCCCGGACCTGCACAACCGGCACGGTTAGGTCATCCTTGGTGGGAGGGGGGAGGGGGCAAGCCCGATAACCCAGGTTATCACCGGACCCTAAAAGAAAAGTCTCTACATGAGCCCACCTGGGTTCCGAGAGAACGCATTGCGCCGAACGCTCCTGTCCTCGCGGTCGAGGGGGGCCATGTTCATGTACGTGGTTAGGCGCGTACGTCCTCTGTGGGCTTCCTGTATTCGGGCCACCTGTCGGCGTCGAGCCCCGGGGGGGAGGGGAGAAAGAGCGGGCCTCCTCAGATGACTCGGAAGTCCCCCAGCCTCCCGAGAAGTGTTCTAAGCCTTCCCGGAGGACACAGCAAAAACCTCTCAGAAGGCGCAAAGGGCTTCTGAGAATCCCCGCCGCCTTCTGAGAAGGCCTTCTCTTTCTCACCTCCCCCCCTCACTCGCCCCCGACAAAGGCGTCACTGGCCCGATGTGCTCCAGACGCCCCCCAAGGGAGAATGGCAATCTCAAAGCAGTTGCAACTAAAGTCAAAACCTGCCCTTTCTTGTCACGCAAGGCGCTGGTTCACCCATCTCCCGAGAGTGCCGGTTTCGCCCCAAAATGCTGCAGTGACGGACGAACCGATGAAACATGCAACCGAAGCGGCCAGAGAGACAAGGGGAAATAGGATAGATATCAGTCATGCCATTCCGGATTTCAGAATAGAAGGAGGGGTGGTCTGATTTTCTGGGGGGTCTGTCTGGAGTTATCTCGGAGGGTTCCGCGGGGTCTGGGCAAATGGCCGCCCTTTCATGGCTGGTCTGGGAGGGTCTAAGCTGCACGTCCGGGAGGGTTGCGACCCTGTCCCCTTTCATTGCGACATTTGAGTGCACCCTGCGTGGCGTTGGCAGTCGTTCGCTTCTCTCCTGGTCAGCTCCCGCCTCGCCCCCGCTCAGGCGCATCTTGTGCTCGGATGGCCCGCTGGCGCGGCGCGCAGCAATGCCGCCCAGGCTGCGAGGGCTGCGGCGTCCAACCGGTCCCCCGGGGTGGCGAGCGCAGATCCGCACGGGGCGCGAGGAGGAAGAGGAGGAGGAGGAGGAGGAGGAGGAGGAGGAGGAAGAGGAGGAGGAAGAGGAGGAGGAGGAAGAGGAGGACAGAGGAGCGACGCATAACAGCCCAGGAGGGTTCCAGACGGGGTTGGGGGGCAGGGGGTCTTCCGCACGGGGAACGAGCCTGCGGCGCAGGCCACGCGCAGACCCATGGAGCGACGAGGGGCAGCGGGGTCTGACGCACGTTGGCACGGCGGGCTCACGCGGGCCGCCAGCGCGGCACGCCGCCGTGGAAGCGTGGGCGCGCTCACGCGCGACCTTACGCGGCACGCTTAGCGCGCCAGTGTCGGTCAAAACGGCATTGTTTTCTTGGAGGGCTTCCGAACAATGTTTACGGTGGTGCGGGGTTTTCCGTGTTTTTCCACAAAGTCCCCGAAACAGGGACTTAGCAAAAAGCCTCTGCCCCCCAAAAACCTTCTGAAACCCTCTGGAAAAACAGGGTTGTCTTCACCGACGCTGGCGCGTAAGCGTGCCGCGCCAGATCGCGCGTGAGCGCCCACGCTTCCAAGGCGACGTGCCGCGCTGGCGGCCCGCGTGAGCCCGCCGTGCCAACGTGCGTCAGACCCCGCTTTCCCTCGTCGCTCCATGGGTCTGCGCGTGGCCTGCGCCGCAGGCTCGCTCCCCGTGCGGAAGACCCCCTGCCCCCCAACCCCGTCTGGAACCCTCCTGGGCTGTTCTGCGTCGCTCCTCTGTCCTCCTCTTCCTCCTCCTCCTCTTCCGCCTCCTCTTCCTCCTCCTCTTCCTCCTCCTCCTCCTCCTCCTCCTCCTCCTCCAGGGGCGCGGCCAGTTGCGCAATTGCGTCGGTCGGCCTGCGCGATCTCCCTCGCGTGGCGCCCCGCCCGCGGCGCAGCCGCTCGCGCACGGGCGCGGGGACCGCGTGCACTCTCGTCGCCCGGAGGAGGCCCCTCGGCACGGAGCGGCACACCGCGGATCGCCACGTAAGCGGGCGGCCAGTGGCGAAGCCAGGGGATCCGCCATGTCCTTCACCGCCCCATGCATTGCCGTCCCCCTCGCTGCCGTCCCAGTCATCCCCATGCCGACCCATGTCATCCACTGTCGTTCCTCCTCGCTCGTTTCACGTTCCCACTCCTCCGCCTTCTCCTCCTCCTCGTCCTACTCCTCCTCCTCCTCCTCCTCCTCCTCCTCCTCATCATCCTTCCCTCTATCCTCCATTTCGTCCTCATCGCAAGCACCATGGTCGTGATCCATATCCGAATCATCAGTACCATCCTCTTCACTCTCATCCTTCTCATCATATGCACATGGTTCCTCATATTCCACCTTCTCTTCCATGTCCTAATCTTCTTTACCCCCTTCACTTAATGTCCGTTTCCTCCCTTCCTCCTCGGCCCCCTTGTCATCCCCATCCGTCAAATGGACGGCAGCGTGGCGTTCACAACACGACCTGCCAATCAAGAATATCCCCTGGAAGCTTCTGACAGTCTCCAGAGATGGTCAAGAACCTTCGCCCCCCTCCGACGCCCCGACGTGCGAAGCTGTCCGCATTCGCCCAGGGGCCGACCTCGAGCACATTGGACCAAGGCCTCTGCTTGCGGGCAATGCGGTGCGACGCCGCTGCCCCTCTCTCCTCTCATCATTGTCTGCTCCTCTTCCTGTCCCCCCCCTTCTACTCATTAGAGCCCAGTGCGCCTGCGGCGATCGACATATAGACTCGGGCCACCCCCTAGCCGCCCGTGAGAGGACCGACGACTGGTGACGTGAGTCTACTCCAGCAGACACAACCCCCGAAGTGAACCATCAACGTATCAGACGCCGAGCCCATACGCCACAAATGCGGCGTTGATACTTCGGCGATGCTTTCGGCGCGCGGCAATGTTTCGACGATGATCGGCGGTGATTCAGCGATACGTTCGTCGCGCGACGACGTTTCGGAGATGTTTGAGGCGACGTCCAGCGATGCCTTGGAAATGATGGTGCAGTGCCCCAGTGCCCAGACGATGGCGTGTGGCAAAGTGAGATACAGCCCGTGATGTCTACGCAGCCTCTGGACATCCTCGCTGGTCTCGCGGGAGCAGGAGAAGGAGGAGAGGGAGGGGGAGGAGAGGGAGGAGGAGGAGGATGATGAGGAAGACCAGTGTAAACCCAAGCGTCATCAACGATATTGGAGTAAACCCTCCCTCCAAACTCCCTCTTCACAGGCCCCTACAACGGTTCATTTCCATTGATGGAACTGCCTCGTTGGAAGACACCCGTTTGAAGACCCTGAAGCGTGCCAAAACATTGTTCTCGGGATTCCAACGCCACGGATCAACCTGACTGTTGCGTCTTGACGATCCGGAATCGTGACAGAACGCCAGTCCTAGGACTCCAACACAGAGAACCAACGTATCTGTTGCACCCGCAAGATCCAGAATCCTTCCAAAACGCCATTTCTGGTACGTTGATGATGGGAAGCCGTGAAACTCTTGCAACTTATGAAAATGAATGTGCGCCACGCCAACGCGAGAGCCACAATTTGAAAAACCACTCGCCCTCAATCCGTGAAGCTCATGCAAATGTTTAAAACGAATGTGCGCCGCGCCAACGCGAGAGCCACAATTTGAAAAACCACCCGCCCTCAATACGCGAAATTCTTGCAATCTTGAAAAACGAATGTGCGCCGCGCTACGGCGAGAGCCACAATGTGAAAACGACCCGCCTTCAATCCGTGAAGCTCTTGCAAATCATTAAAACGAATGTGCGCCGCGCCAACGCGAGAGCCACATTTTGAAAAGGAACCGCCCTCAACCCGTGAAGCTCTTGCAAATGTTTAAAACGAATGTGGGCGGCGCTAAGGCGAGAGCCACATTTAAAAAACCCCCCACCCTTCATATGTGAAACTGCTGCCAATTGTAAGCTTCAGAATCATACATGGTGAGGAACTCTCAGGCGAGACGCCCAGCCCACCCCAAAAACTGGCCTCGGGTGCGACAGGGGGAAATTATTTACAAGCAAGAGGAATGAAGAAGGAAGATGAGGAGGAGAAGGAGGAGGAGGAGGAGGAGGAGGAGGAGGAGGAGGAAGGGGAGGATGAGCAGCAGGAGGAGGAGGAGGAGGAGGAGGAGGAGGAGGATAAGGAGGATACGGAGAATAAGGAGGAGCAGGAGGAGGAGGAGGAGGAGGAGGAGAAGGAGAAGGAGGAGGAGGAGGAGGAGAGGAGGATGAGGAGGAAGATGAGGAGGACGAGAGGGAGAGAGAGGAGGAGGAGAAGGAGGAGGATGAGAAGGAGGAGGAGGAGGAGGACGATTGCGTGGGTTGCCTCTGCGCACCACTGTTCACGATCTGGGGTGGTGAGGTCGGTCCCTTTCCGATTCCCAAGGGGGGGCCTCGCGCGGCGGGGTTCGGCAGTGCTTCGGCGACGCTTTTTCTGCACGGCGATACTGCTTCCGATCGCATCTGCCAAACAGTTTCGACCACAATGGCTCACCACAAGTTTTGACACACACGGCGCTCACGGCAAGTCCGCGCGTCTCCTATGACTGATGCTGTTTATGTGGCCCAGGAGCTCTGTCTATGCACAGGTCGTGGAAAGTGTCCATGAGGTGTCGCACGTGGAAGCTCAGTCCCACCAGCCCTCTGGGCGTGGGTGAATGAGAATACGAGCTTCGCCAAAAACAATGGCGTGCTTCTCCTTCGGGGAGGTGTTCGCCAGCCCCCACCCTCGCACCGATGGCCTGGAAAGAGATCCCGAGAGGGAGAGGAACGTCCAAGATGGCGCCAGGTGCCTCCACTGTTGCCGCAGATACCTACGTAGCCCAAGATGGACGCCAAAATGATGCGAGGCGGCACAGGTTGGCGCAAGCCGCAAGGCCAAGGAAAGCCCGATCATCGGTGGGTCCACAAGGCCAAGGAGCGCGCCTCGAGGGGGTTGCAGCGCTTCGCACGGCTGCCCCCCGAGAAACAACCCCGAAGACTGCCACGCCGCTCCAGCGGCGCGTGCTTTCGGCCCGCTTCCCCCACGCTGCGCCACTGGAGCTTCAAGCTGCCTCTCAAATCGCCGCGCAGAGGCGAGCGTCGCCTCGCCCATGTTACTCGTCGAGCAAGCGCAGGGCGACGAGCGGGAGCCACAGGGCACGCAGACCGAGAACTTCGAGGAGGTGAAGGCCGAGGACGGCTACGAGCAGCACGAGGAGACGCAACCCACCACGCTGGAGAAGGACACCAGCAAGCCCGAGGACAAGAGCCTCGACGACCTCCAGACGCACTCCTGCGGCGCGTGTGAGCAGGGCAGAGGCTTCTGGGAGTCTGCGGCTCTCGCTCGATGTCGCCCGAACGTCGCAGTCCGCGCCGCGCGACACGCAGTCATCCTTCGCACTTCGCGCCCGAGCGTTGGACCTCAGGAGGTCTCCAGAGGCCTCCAGGAGTCCCTGGCAGGGCTGGACCTAAGCGTAGTTTTTCGTTGTTTTCGTTTAGTTGTTCGTTTTGCTCTGCCTGTTTTCCTGTACCTCCCTGCCAAAACGAAAAACAAAACACAGCCGAAGTCCAGCAAAACAGCGTTTAGGTCCAGCCCTGGTCCCTGCAGGAGCCTCCAGAAGCCTCCAGAGGCTCCATTGTAGCCAGCAGCCTACGGCAGTGATTAGCCCAGGCCATTCGGACTCACCTGTCGGCCCACGCATCTATAGAATGGCCTGCACGTCCTTTTCTGGCACGCGAGGCGCGCTCTTCACTCTGCTGCGCTGGCCCCCACCCCAAACGCCAGCACTGGGTGCGAACCGCGACGCCGTCCGCCGCCCGCTCGCACCAGGCTGGCCCGCAGCTCTCCTGAGGCGCCCCGACTTCCTGCGAGGGGCAGCACCCTCGCGGGCAAGGATTGTGCATGCACAGAAGCAAACTGGCTAAGCTCCGCCAACGGCCGCGTCGCCGCCGTCCTCGTCCTCCTCGTCCCCGCCACCGCCGCTGCTCTTCTTCCACTCCGCCAAGGCCTTATCGTACGCGGCCTTCAGCACCGAGGCCTTATCCTCGAACGGCTTCTTGGCCGCCGCCGGCAGAGCCTTCCACTTCTCGCCCGCGAGCTTGCCGACAACGGGCCCCCGCGCGGTGCCGGCCTCCTTTGTCAGCGCCTCGCGGTTCTCGCCGAGCCACATCCAGTAGGCGTTCTGCGGCCGCGACGGCTTCCCCGATGCCTTCTCGGCCTCGTTCTTCGCCTTCCTGGCAGTCTTGGCCTGCTGCCCCTCCTTCGCCTCCCTCTTCTCCAGGCGCCGCTTGCCCACCTGGCCCCCGCCGGCCTTGAACTTCTCCATGGCTATGTCGTACTCGCACCTGAGCTTCTCGGCCCTGTCCTCGAAAGGCTTCTTGGCCGCCGCCGGCATGGCTTTCCACTTCTCGCCAGCGAGCTTGCCGATGATGGGCGCCTTGTTGCTGCCGGCCTCCTTCGCCAACGAGTCGCGTTGTCGCCGAGCCACATCCAGTAGGCGTTCGCCGGCCTCTTCGGCTCCTCAAGCTCCGCCACCATGCTGGCCCGCGGCTCGAGACCCAGCTACCTTCGGGGGGGCGGCCCCAGGGTCGCGAGGGAGATCGCGGGCGGGGGCGGGCCTCCTCTGCAGCCTCGGGGCAGGAGGCCTCGAGCCAAAGTGGCCTCGACAGAGATCGGAATCTGGGACCCCTTCGCCCTCTCTCCCCGCCTCTGGCTCAAGAGGGAGGCGTGCGGGGGGAAGGGGCAAGGGGGGGTCCCTGCTCGGGGGCCGCACCTGGACCCTGGCATCCACCGATCTGCTTTTGGTCCATCCGCGGCCCCAGAGGCCACGACCGCTCCACCAGTAATCTTGTAGCCCCAGGTCCGTTCTTCATAGCCCCCCAGGGACGCAATCGAAGAAGCGCCGCGGGCCGAAAAAGTCAGATCGCAGGAGATGTGTTTCCCAGACCCCGACGTCATGACTTGTCCAAAGAGACGACACCCAGAGGTCTCGACCCATTCCCCTGGAGCAATTTCTCATGCTGAATCGGTTGTTGACGCTCAGTCCGGCGGGGGCTCCCGGAGACCGAAGACAGCTCCCGTCGTGTCTTTGTTCATTGCCCGAAGGGTTTTGGGTTTCAATCCCCGCGATGTTTCCTACATTTCGGCCTGGGGGCGTGGTCGGCCCCTGGGGCCGCCATCGTCGGGGGTCACGGGTCGATCTCGGAGGGCCCCCCTCTCAACCTGGTGGGCGGCCGGACTCAGGCCTCCGAGGATACAGGATGCCGTCGCTGTGCTACCAGGAGGAGCGAAAAGTGCCTTCCGAACTCGGGTGGAGGTCTTAGGTAAGGATGCCAGTGTGAAGGGGCGCGGAAACTCGAATCGGCGAAGTTCCTTCACTTTTGAAAAAGAATGGTCGAAATCCTGGACAACAGGGCGTGTACCCATCATGACCGAAGGGGGTTTCCCGGACCCTGAGCTGCGCCCTCCAAACCTTGCGCTGGAAGGACTGTCCGAGGGTCCCGCCTGGAAGCAGGGCTTCCTTATAAAGCGCCTCCACCGCAGCCGTGGCGAACCTCGGCCACGAGTGGGTTCCCCGACCTAGATCTGCGGGAACGGGCCGAGAACCAGAGAGCACCTGCGGAACCCGACACTGTCGCCCCACGGACGACAGCGGGGAGGATGAGGATGTCTGGTTTTCCACCTCCACGGGCAGACGCACTGCACAGTCCTGACAGTGCCGCTCTGAATAGAGCGGTCGCAATACAACAGGTGAGAAAGTATGGGAAAAAAGGAAGGATGGGATAGTATGCTTGGGAAGTGATGAGGAATGAGTAGGCGGGTCTTGAGCCAAAACGGTACGGACCCCTCACTCATGACCTTCAAGCTCAGGGGGTCTAGTGAGACAGCCTCATTACCAGCGAACGGGCCTCTAGATTCGAATCTCACAGCGCCCCGACAAACAGTGAGCTTGATAAGTCAAGAGGTGCGCTTAATCAGCGCTCTTAAACAAAAGGAGGAGTCGTACCATCGGCTTCAATTCTGCTGCCATCTTGCCTTGAAGTGGGAGGGGCGCGCTCCTTTGGGGCTCCGAGCCCTCGTCCTAGCACGCCACTCTGAACGAAGCTTAAATCCGCCTTGGTTCAAACAGCCGGCGTAACGCACCTGAATATTGCCTCGCTTTCGTGACGGGTGTCACTCGGCCTGAGGCGATCCTGAAACGGCACTTGCCTTGGGTTCACCTTCCTGCTGCTGAAACTGCCTCTGGGACTCGGCTCGGGACCGACCCTTCTTGCGAGGGTCCTCTCTGCGACGCTGGACCGGAGCAGCTCGAACTGAGCCGCATTGGTTTTGGCCACGTCGGACTTAGTCATGCAGCCCACGGGAAGAAGGGGGTTGGGGCATCCACCTGATGACACTTCCGACCTTTTTCATGATATCCCGAACGACGGCCAGATCAATAGCAGTCCGACGATCCGATCTGGATCCATCCGAAAGCTTGCTAGGAGTGTCATAAATTCCCTCGGCATCAACAAAGCTCAGACACTCGGTGTCGGATGGGGGCTTGAGCTCGCAATCTCTCCTGAGCAGGGCCGCGAACGGACCCACTTGGCCCTGCCACGATTCGGACACGACGTTGCCTCGGGTCACGTCCTCATACATGAGATGCAACCACTGAACCTCCGCGAGGGCCCCGGAGAGAGCAAGGGTTTCGCCGGCGAGCGCACTCGCGACCTAACGCTTGACGCGACACGATCGCCAAGCTAGGGGTGTGGCCCGTGCCTTCAAACCATGTGCCAGTGCATTGTCGGCGAGATAAACCTGCCACGCCTGCTTGGGAAAAGGGCAATCGTCCGCCCCGACACCGCCGCAATCGCTGGCGGTGGCAAACATGCAGCGGTTCGGGTCAAACCGGTGCACCACGACTGGCATGATGGCGGTAGACCGAAGGTGGTCCACCATCTCGTCGGCGGGGGTGCCGACATCGCTGCTGCCCGGGTCCTGGTAGTCCAAGTCCTCTGTGCGCTTGTCGCCAAAGGTGTCGTCGAATTGCTGCGTGCTCAATGGTTGGAGCCCAGATGCTGTGGTGGGGCAGGATAAGGAAGGAGCTGAGGTTACCCTCTGAGACCCCCTCTTGCGCTACGACCTGGCCCTTGGCTCGGCGCTGGATCCCGTAGAGGCGGAGGTTGCCGCGCCCGCCGTGCACGCTCCCGGCCCCGACCCCGTGGATGGCTGAACTGGACCTGCCTTCTGAAAACTGATCCCTTAGCTGACTCCCCGGACGATCGATCTTTCCGGAGATTGCTGGACTGTGAGTTGCAGGCTCGCTCTCGGCCCCTGTCCTAATGTTGGCCCAGAAGAAAACCCGGGGACGTCCCAATTGGCCCCTCTGGCCCCAGAGGCCCCCCCCCCAGCAGCTTCCGACAACCCTTCCCACAAGGCCTGGCTGAGCAAAGGGCGAAGATGGGATGATGTACCTTCCCTGCGCCTGAAAAGCACCCTTGGGCAGGTGCGGGTGCGATCGAAAGACCAGCGCTGGAGCGTTGAAATCCTTGGCGGCAGCCGAAAAGTCAGCTACCTGGATGGTGCGATGCGCCGAGGGCAGACGCGCCATAGGCATGCTGACTCCCAACTTGGTGAACCTCTTCATGGTCTGATTCGGGAGGTCCACCACTCCACCTAGGCCCCCCTGGAAACCGATGGGCAACAGAGGCGGGGCGTCTTGGCTCAGGACGTCCAGCTCGAGAACTCCCATCCGGCCCTCGATTCCCAGAGGGATGAGAGCGGCCGCTAAAACGGCGACCCCTCCTCCGACGCCCCGAGCGCTGGAGTTCCACGGGGGGGGGGGGCCTTGGGATAGCGAAGCCATTGGAGGCCCTGTGTTCCTCGACCTTCCTAAGGGCGGGTTCCCCGATGAGGCCCTGGCCAAGAGCTGCGCCCACGACCGTGGCCCCGGGTCAAACGGCGAGCAAAGCTACAGCATGCGAGGGGGGGGAGATCGCCAAAGGTGAGAGTTGGCTGAGAACCGTCAACTAGATTCATATACAGAAATGATGCTCCCGTCATGGCTGGTGTCTGATCCCTCCCGCTCTGACCCTGGTCCTGGCGCTTCGGGCACTCGCGAGACCGGTGGCCCTTCTGGTGGCGCAGCCTGCACCGAGTGCGCGCGATCAGCTCCTGGAGTGGCAGGCGCCCCTTTCGGGGTCGAAAGGTGCCGCCCCGTGGCCGGGCCTGCGAGGCTTCTCGCGCCCATCGGCGCCGCGGGCTCCAGCGGGGGCGGACCTGTCGTAGAACTTCCTGTCGACCTTCAGCTGCCTCTTAAGGTCGCGATTCTGCTTCCAGGTCATGCGGCGCTCCTGGTTGATGTTGATGAGCGCAGCGAGCGCGGCCTGGGCGTCATCCTCCCCGACGTCGGCTGAATCCAGGGTGGCCCGGACTTCCGGTTCCCCTTCGGAGTTGAATGAGGAGACGTCCGAGTAGTCGATCAGAGAGTCGTCACCCTCGACCTGGTAGGCCGGCGTCGACGGAGCTGGCGCTGTAGCGCCCCGGCCGTCCCCGGAGGACATCGTGGCGTAGGTTTTCGGCCGGGCCCTCAGATGCTCACGATGCGCGATGTCCATCTCTCGCATGGCGTTCAGCGCCGCGGCGTTGCTCCTCTGGTCCTTCATGAGGACCTTCGCCATCTGAGCGGTCTTCTCGTCCAGACCGACTCCCTCCTCGAGGGGCATCAGTTGCCAATCGTCTGGGAGCGGAAGGCCCTAAGTAGCCGCGCGATCGAAGGCCGCGTCGACGCGGGCGCAATACTCGGTCATATTCTCCCCTTGTTTGCGGCTGTAGCCCAGAAGACACTTGCGAGCCACCTTCCGGCGCTCGTCGCCCTGCCTTTCACCTGACAAGAGATCGAGCCGTTCAATTATAGTATCCGAACCCGTGAGGACCACCTATCGTAGCGTCGTCTGTATCCTCGAGTTTCCGTTGACGGTCCTGATCTAGGGTGCGGAAGAGCCAATCCGCCTGCTTGTGCGTCGGCACGTCGGTCAGGGATCTCCATCGCAAGACCTTGCGACGCCACATACGATAGTCGGCCCAGGCCGACCACTTCTCGGGACCCGTGGAATCCCTGCCCGGCTTGGAATCGCCCCAGTCGGAGTAGCGCTGATCAAAATTGGGCTCCTACTTCCCGGCGCTAGAGCGCAATTTGTCATCTGTCGTGCGATTCCAGCCTGGATTCCACGGGTCCGTCTGCTGCTGCTGCTGCTGCTGCTGCTTGCCACATCGCCAGTCGTTGCGACCCCAGGCGGAAGCCTCGGTCGCCTTGGAGTCCGAGGCGGTCAGACGAGCCCCACGTCGCCCCGGACGCCCAGCCAGACTTGTAGCCGCCGTGGCCTCTACCCTGCCACACCGGCTCGCCCGTCCAGCTGCTTCTCTGCCACCAGCCTGGCCCGCCCTGGGACGCCCCGAAGGGTCCTGTCCCGGCTTCGGCCGCCCTCTGGTTTGGCCGACTCTCCTTCCAGCTTGATTGCCCGCCCGCCTGAGCGGTCGCCGAACCCCCCTTGGGCCAGACTGTGTCGACCTCCTTCCAACTGTCGTCGTTGCTGTCCTCGCCAGTCGGCTGCCGCTGGGCGTTCCCTGACGAGTCGCACGCCCGTGCAGCTTGAAGGAGGGTGTTTGCCAAGTCCCGCGCCGCCTGTGCACTGAGTCCGAGAACTTCCTGTCGTAACAGCGTGTCCGTCACGGCCTGCTCCGTGGACTGTCTCCCATCATGCGTCTGTCGCGGCTCCAGATTATCATCGGTCCTCTCTGCTGCCATCTCGGTCCGCGGATGCTGAGCTGCTCGCAGCTCCGCAACCACTGTCGCCCCACGGACGACAGCGGGGAGGATGAGGATGTCTGGTTTTCCACCTCCACGGGCAGACGCTTTGCACAGTCCTGACTGTGCCGCTCTGAACAGAGCGGTCGCAATACAACAGGTGAGAAAGTATGGGGAAAAGCGAAAGGATGGGATAGTATGTTTGGGAAGTGATGAAGAATGAGTAGGCGGGTCTTGAGCCAGAATGGTACGGCCCCCTCACTCATGACCTTCAAGCTCCGGGAGTCTAGTGAGACAACCCTCATTACCAGCGAACGGGCCTCTAGACTCGAATCTCACAACACGACCCTTCGTGATCTCGGCTGCGGACTGCGCCGCTGTCGCCACTCTCGCGGGCTCCCGAGCGTGCTCGGGGGTCCTGGGGAAAACAAAGGGATTGACTAAGACGCGCCGTTGGGTACCTGGGCCTGGGAGGGCATCCGAGGGGCCAGAAGGGCGCCTCCTGATGGAAGGCCGCCGACCCCCCCCGGCATCCTGGACCTAGTTAGCTGCACTAACGCGCCGCTTTTGAAGCGCAACGCGTCCAGTGTTCAAATTCAGAACGTCCGTGTCGACACGTTGCGCGTTGGCTCAGAGTGCTGGCCGACGGTTTGAAGAGCATCTCACGCCAGACGTCTGCTTTCAATCTCCGTGTTGAGTTGAGGGGCAACGGTAAGGGGGACTGGCATTGGGGGGGACATCGACCTGGAATCGGCGATACATCGCCGATAGATCGGCGATGGGACCCGATAGTCAAGCTGCACCTTCCTGGACAGGTTGGGGCGGACTATCGGGCCTCAATCGGCGATCAATGGGCGATTGGGGATCAGTGCGTCTCCCCCATGCCTATCCCCCCGTATCGCTGCCCCTGCCGAGTTCCCTCCTCCTCCTCCTCCTCCTCCTCCTCCTCCTCCTCCTCCTCCTCCTCCTCCTCCTCCCCCCCAGAGAGAGAGGCCGCTTCCCCTCGCCGGCGTGCTCTCTCTCTCTCTCTCTCTCGCCGCCTTCTTTGTGGAGTCCCTGACCCGTGTGCTCTTGGGGAAACCAGAAGGTACCGATACTCCAATTCCCCAGGCCCCTCCCAGGTTGCAGTCTTACCAGGAGGCCCCGACAGGCGAGAGCAAGGCAGCCCCCAAGAGAGGCCCCCAATCTGCTCCCAAGAGCTCCCCGAGAGAGCTCCGAAGAGACCCGAAGAGGCATCCCAGATAACCCTGACCCACAGCCCAGGCACCGTGGCAGGATGGGCCGAAGACCATTCGATACGTTCCTCTTCATGCGCGGTTGGCCCGTGGCCGAGGAAGCGCAACAACCCGGACATCACCCGTGCAGAGGCCGGCTGCGGGGTGTTCTTGGTGCGGCGGCCAAGGGAGCCGCCTGGCGGCTCGACGGAACAAGAGCCACGGTACTTGCTTCGGCAGGTGGGGTTGAGCCACCAGCTGGACTCGCTGATGACCTTGGGATCCAACGTTGCGAAAGGATGGCAACATCGCGAAAAATCACGGCACGAGCCATGTACCCCGCTTCTCGAGCTGGATCGACCTGTAATGGTCCCAGGGCCCGAAACTGGGCGAAAACGCCCAGGGTGAGGAAAATGCGATGCCCAGATTTCAGGAGAAGTATGGTGATGTACGCACTTGCTCTGCGACGCCGTCGTGCTTGACCTGCCTCTCCAGCGAACGGACAATGAGCAAGTCGTTGAAGTGACCGGCAGCGGTGGCGAGCGACGCGACTCTCTGCTCAGTGAAGCCGCGCAGGAGCAGCAACCAAAATAGAAGACGGAGCAGCAACACTTGCGACAGGCGCGTACGCAAACTATTTTTTTCACTTGGCAAACTGGGCCTCCCCATCGGACAATTCTTGCAAGATAGTGCGAGGTCGGTGAAGCAGGTAACCCCGTGCAAGGGCCCGTGCGCACCATTCTATGCAAGCAAGGGCTTGAACCAAATGTTTGGACGCCCGAAATGGGTGCGGAAAACATGGGCCCAATGCCCAACATCGTGTCCCAAACCAGCAGCGGCCGCTGTTGGGCAGGCGGTCTTCTGTCTCAAATGGACAACGTCCGCGGCAACACCGACAGCGAGTCCTCCTCAAAATGAACAGGACCTGCTGTCGGTCACTGTACCCATTCTTTCCGTATCCATCTCGATCGCCCGAAAATGGCGACGGAGGGGGACGATAACGACCACCAGCAGTAGCAGCAAGGCCAGCAGGAAGAAGCCTCCTTGCCCGCCCGAGCCCTCGGCGAGTCCGTTGTGGCGGGCTGGCCGGGCGCCGGCAAGTTCGGCTCACGGTTTTACGTCGTGTGCGCCAGAAGTCCTCGCAGTGACCATGATCAAGCCCGAAGCTGCGCTCTCACCAGGGGGTGTGCCCACCCGCATGGAAATGAATTCTGGGTCTGTACAAGCGTACAAAAAGCGATTGCAGGAGACAGCAGATATCGAAGTCGGCCTCGCAGTCGGACGCAAAAGGCGCCGCCCTGTGGAGGAAACACAGGCGCGCGGGGGCCAGAATCAAAAGAAAAAAACCAACGGCGTGCCGCCGCCAGGCGTTTGCCGACGTCGACGGTAACCCAGCATCGGCAGCAGCAACACCCACCTCCTCCTCCTCCTCCTCCTCCTCCTCCTCCTCCTCCTGTTTCGTTCCTCCTTCGCCCTCTCTTCCTTCTCTTCGGCCATTTCCGCATTCTTGGCCTCCTTCCCCTACTCCTCCATTTCCTACTCCTCCAGCTCCTCCATTCCTTTCCTATAAACAACTCCTCCCTATCGCACCCCGAGGCCGGTGGGAAGGGCGGGCCGGGCGTTTCGCCTGAGACTTCCTTACTATGTATGATCCTGAAGCTTGAAAATTGGCAACAAATTCACAGATGGAGGGTGGGCCGCTTCCAAAATGCGGTTCGCGCTTAAGCGCCGAGCACATTCGTTGTGAACATTTACGAAAGTTTCACGGATTGAGGGCGGGTGGTTTTCAGCATGTGGCTCTCGTTGTAGCGCCGCACGCAGTCTTCTGAGATGTTTGCAAAAATTCCATGGATTGAGGGATGTGGCTCTCGCCATAGCGCCACGTGCGTTCGTCTTCAAAGTTTGCAGAAATTTCACGGATTCCCATCGCTAACGTCAGGGCGCAACGGTTACGTTGATGCGCGGCGTCGAAGTACCAGGAATGGTGATGATCGCCAAGACGCAACAGTCAGGTTGATTCGTTGCGTTGGAGTCCCGAAAATGGTGTTTTGGCACGCTTCAGGATCTTCGAACGGCTGTCTCCCAACGGGGCATTTCCCTCAGTGGGAATGGGCCCTGGTGGGGGCCTGTGACGAGGGAGCTTGGAAGAAGGGTTTATTCCAACATCGTTGATGAATCTCGGGTTTACGTTGGTCCTCCTCCTCCTCCGCCCTACAGCCCGCTCTCCGATCCAGGCAGTCGAACAGACGGCGAGCGACCCGCTGAAAACGGCGCGGCCGCACTGCAGAGCCTTCAGCGCGACCGAGACGCGGGGTGCGCAGAAAGCAGCGGACAAGGGCGTCCTTGGAGGAACAAGAAAAGCACGAGCATGTGTTCCCGGAGCACTGCGCGGTCCGCGCAGTGCTCCAGACTTCTGGGATCGACGCCAGTACCCCTTTCCCTGGTGCGGGCGCCGCCAGAGGCGCCGCCAGGGGTGCCCGGCGCCGATCCACGAAATCCGCGCGGAGCTCAGGAAATGTACGCTTATGCCGTTCTTTGTTCTTCGAGTCGTGTAGGGGTGACGGGAGGGATGGGGAAAGAGAGGGGGACACCAATGCGCGCTCAAGCGGTGCCGATGTCGAGGATGATCGCCACCCCGGCCAGCACCCACTTATCCGGAACGGCCTTCGAGCGCAGCTGAGCCGGGAAGACAAAGTACGGCCGCCGGGTGGGCACGCAGTACGCTGGGCAGATGTAGGTGTTTTTGTCCACCTTCTCCAAGAGGGGGCCCGCCTTGCAGATGATCACCGGCAGCTGCGTGAACATCTCCTTAGGCTTGGAGTCCTCCAGCGAGTTGCCTACGCTGTCCCAGCGGGCACCCTCCAGGAACATGCCTGTGACGAAGGCACCCTCCTTGGAGTGCCCCTCCACCTGCTTGACTTCCCTCTTGGTGACCTCTGTGAAGACCTGCAGCTTGTCCAGCTCGAGTCCCTGCTGCTGGCAGCATAGCTGCTTGATAGCAGTCAGGAAACTCTGCGGGTTGAAGAGCTTCGCGATGTCGACCACCTTGGGGATGGTTAGCGGGTCGTTGGTCCAGTCTTCCAGCTGCACGCAGCGATCCTGCAGGTTTACGCGCCACGACTTGAGCGGCCGCGTGGAGGGGAAGCCCAGTTTGACCCACCACGTCGGGAGCTTCTCCAACCAGAGCGAGTCGGCGATCTCCTCCATCTGCTCGCTCATCGTCAGCTCCCCTTTGAAACCAAGCTGTAGCTCCTGGAGACCTCTGACCATCTCGTAGATGAGCCCGTTCATGTACTCGCACTCCTGCAGGAACACGTACTGGTACGGACCCTTCTCCTCGTCGCTCAGCGAGCGGCTGATGTCTTCGGTGGGGAACTTCTTCTCCTGCACCTCTTCCAAGATCTCGCCGCAGAGGGCCTCCGCAATGGCCATAGGGCTCTGAACGTCGCCGTCACCATCGCCAGCGCTTGCGCCCGCGCCCATCAGGATAAGCAGCGCCTCGAAGGTCGAATCGCACAGATTCGTGCGGAAGTTGATCTCTGCGTTCGGGTGCATCCCGAAGAAGAGCGGAGACTCCACGGGCATCGTCTCCATGTGCTCCACGTACTTGTCGTGGGGGCCTGGCTGGGGAGACATCCAGGACAGCTTCCCGTCAGCGTAGGGGATCATCTCGATCTCATCCAACAGCTCGTCCCGCATGAAATACAGGAGGTACTTCTCGCACATGCGGCGGTCCCAGTCGTCGACGATATGCCCCCCGTACATGATCTCGCCGAAGATGTATCGCAGGTCGTCCCAGGGGATCTTCACGGAGGAGCTGCCCTCGAGGTAGTTGTACAGCACCTGCGCGGAGTCTCGGAGGTCGCCGGCGGAGAAGGGGTACAGCATGTTGTAGCCCATGGCGCCGAACTTCTTCCTCTCGAGCATGAGGGAATGGAAGTGCACCAGGGCGAAAAGGATGGACTTGACTCTTCCGTCCTTGTCCTCGAAGTCCTCCTTGCTGAAGAGCGCGAAGGAGCGGCGGAGGTTGGCCTGCATTCCCTGTGGAGGTTCGTTCGTGAGCTTGATGGAGCGCTCCAGGATGCCGATGGGGATACCCTTGCTGGGGTCGGCGGACAAGATTACGCGCATACCGAAATGGCTGTTCTCCACGGCGAATGCGTCCAGCTTCTTCTCCAGCTCGATGCACCACTTGGGCATCAGGTGGATGTTCTGGAGCATGACCCAATGCCCCTCGCGGTGGCTGATCTCCAGCTTTGCCATCGCCACCACGTCCTGACCCTGGCCCATCGCCACGTTGTGGTAGTTCACCCCGAGCTGCAGGTTGATGGTCTTCCTTCCCATGGCCTCGACCTCCTTCACAGGGTCCGCACCAGGGGACAGGATAAAGAAGATGGGGGTTGTGCTCGTGGAGTCGTCGAAGGACGACTGCAGGATCTGCTGGAAGGAGGACGAGCCATCGCAATCCATGTACTCGCGCCCGTTTGGCAAGATGTTCCGGATCCACTCAGAAAGCGCACCACACAGCCTTGTGGATGCCATGACAATGGAGACCCTAACACTCCGATCATTGAACTGAAGGTGTGCTTAACATGTTTGAAGCATGCCCTGAAAAGGTTTGAGCAATGTCTTTTGCATGTCTAAGACATGGCTTAAACATGTCTTGGACATCTGGAATTTGTTTGCCTACGTGCTTCCTCTCCGCTGATCGTCGTCCGCAAACGCAGCCTGTCGGGGCGCAGGCACCGGAGCACCAGGAGCTTCTGGAAGGGCAGGGAGTCGAGCCTCTTCCAGTCCAGGGGCAGCTTGATGTCCTCGGGGGCCAGCTCGTTGAACCACTCCTTGAAGCGGTTTGGCGCGTCCTTCTCCATGTTGGTGGCGAACGAATCGAAGCCCTCCAGCTCAGAAAGTCTCAGTGTCAAGCCCCAGTTCTTGCTCGGCAGCCATTCCGACAACGGGTTCTCCATGCCCGCCATGCCGGGCGCGCGC